AGCCCGCCCAGAGGTCCAGCACCAACCATGTACCTCGGACCGTGGGAGCCCATGGAACCTGAGCTAAATCGCCCCGCCCTCGCCATGTCACTTGGAAGCCCGAAGTCTCGACGCCAGATCGCCCTCAGCCTGGGCGTCTTCGCCATGGCACACCAACACCTGACGCAGGTGAGGGCCTGGTGGCGGAGCCTGTGGGCCAGGCACAGGCTGAGGGGCCTGAGGTAGGGCGACCCGCCGCGATGGGGCAGGTACCTCTGCAGCTGATGCCATCGTGGGGCCCCCCCGGGACACGGTCCCTAGGGGGTGTTGTCCCTAGGCAGAGTAATGCTCCAGGCGGGTGTGCTTCTTGCTGAGGCACGGTCCACCTTCTTCAAGCCGAACATCGCAGCAATGGAGGCTGGTACATTTGGCCTCTTTGCAACCACGTCCATCATTCCAAGGCTTGCAGATCTTCTGGCCTCCTTTGATCTGGCTGACGGTCTTGAAGGAGTCGCCCTTGATCTGCCTCTTCCGCTCGGCAGGAGGTTCCGGCTCAGCGGCACGCTTGCTGGCACCGGTCTCGATGGTCTCCACCAAGGGCTGAATAGCCGGGAATCGCCACTCCAAATGGGTGTCACGGAGGGCATTGTCCAAGGCCCACTGGCCAGGTTGGCCACGGCGAATATAAGTCGCCATCTTGCCCCGGGTAAGGAGGTCGTTGCGTTGCAGCCCGGTCACAGTAGTGCAAGGCACTGGACAAATCCATGAAGAGGACCTTGTCACCCTGAGCCGATGGGGAGACCAGGAAGTTTCCTGCCCAAGCCCAAGCGTGGGCTAGTACCCACAGGGCGAAGTAGTACTCCGTGACGCTGCGGAGGCTCACGGAGACCTCCTTCTCGAGCTGCAGCTGGAGTCCTCCGGGGAGGGCAATCGAGTCACTGGAGCGAGGCTGTGAGACGGTCAAGACGGACTTCACCTTCTTCATGTCCACCACCGTCATGGATTGTTTCCTGAACTCCCTGTAGACCCGGGAACGCAGCTGTTCCGAGGGTTCCAGGACAGAGTCGAAGGACAAGTTGTACCTCTTGGTCCAGTCGACGTTCATCTGCTGGATGGTCGTGTCAGGGAGCGCCTCGTCCAAGTCTTCTGACTTGGGTGCTGCTTGAGCAGCGTGTTTCAGGGCCTGATGGCCAGCCTCATAGGCACTCTTGAAGCGAGCCAGGGCTATTCTGTTCCCTTTCAAAGCTGAAACCTGGTCGATATGGTCAGCAAGGGACTTCTCCCAGTCGGAGGCCTGGATCATGTAGACGAAGTCGTCCAGCGTAGAGATCTGGTGGAACTTGGTGTAGTTGTCGATCCAGCTTTGCTCGAGGTTGGCACCGCGAAAGCAAGTAGCCAAACCTCGGTCATCCTGAAGCACGTCAATGCGGGTCATGGCAGCCACTCAAAACCTCGTGAGGGGGCGCTTGAACCAAAACTCCAACAAGTACAAACAGTTACAAATGGGGCATGCCAGACAGTTCGTGTGACACCCGACCAAGGGGTACATGAACCTACCTGTCATGGCAAACCTGGTAAATCAAGGCATGTAACCAGCGACACGGCACTCAAAGAGTGTCAGCCGCGGCACATTTTCCTGCCATGGGCCGGGTCAGATTGCCCAGCTGTTATATTCCGCCAGGGACTGGTACAGTCCTCGGGGCATACGGCTAAGGCACCGCTCACAAAAGGCAGCCCTGCTCGTCCCAGCACAGCCGCGGCCACGGCTTTGGTGCTCCTGGACGAATGGAAAGTCGCGGCACCAGGGCGTCAAGCGGCCCTCCATCTCCTCTCGAACAAGGTGGGTCTTCCTGCCCTGGACGAACCATGGGATGTCATCAGCCGCATCTTCATCAGCTGGAACCCCACAAAGGTCGTCTCCTTCGGCCGTGACATCGGAAGCAGAGCTCGATAGGTCTTCGGAAGAGTCGGAGGAATGCTCCGCCGAAGGAAGTCCGGACCCGGCCGGGACTTCCTCCTCCACCGGCAGGGCTCCAGGAGCCACTTCAATGGCCTCTTTGGCCTCTGCTTCGAAGGCGCTCAGATCCTCTGGGATCAGCTTGTGCGCTGCTGCAAACTCGGGCCACAGCCAAGCATCCCTGCAAAGCATGCCGTCCTCTGTCAGCGCGAGCTCCCTGCGCTTCTTGTGGAACAGGTTCATGAAGCGGTTCACGCAGCGCTGCTTGACCTGTAAGGATCGTAGGAGCTTGGATCCGGCATAGTGGACCCCCATGGACATCAGGGCCCGGGGTTTCCCAGCTGAGGGGTCCCGGCCACCTCCAGCTGGGATCTCCGTCCAGTTCCCCACTGCTTGCAGGTCAAGGTCCGGCAGTTCGAGGATGTTCGCAATCGTTGGGATGAATCGACGAAGCCGGTTAAATCCCGCTGCCTGTGCATTGGTGAACTCGACCCCGATCTGGTAGAGGGCGCCCCGCAGGAGCTCGAGGAAGCGGCTTCGTGACATGGGCTTGTTCACTATGAGCCCGGTGTGTTCCGTAACTTCCCAAAACTCCTCGGGGTTCAGGGACACCGCGGGGAGCAAGAAGCCACTCGTCTGCGGGTACTCGTTGGCGTAGAAGTCCAAGAGGGTCTGTGTGACTCCTTGACCATCCAGAGTGGCGTGCGGAAGGCCCCATGCATAGCCAGGTCTGGCGCCTTTCTTTCTGGCTTTCCCCTGGGCGCACTGGAACTCCAAACTGGGTCCATGGGTTGTGACGAACTTGGACCGTTGGAGGTGCTCAAATCGAATGCACCCCAATGCGGCCATCAACATCTGGGCCACCAGCACCCTGTGCGTCCCCTGAGACTTCTTCATCAGCAGGAGGAGGTTCACGAACTCCCAAGGTTCAAGCTCTGGTGCTTGGCGGCCTGTGTGGTGCACCGCATGGAAGCGGAAGTGCTTGGTGGCCCAATGGTCCATCGGGAACTGGGCACCAAAGGTGGCTGCATACCACTTCAGGCTGGCATGCATGCTGGCCGCCGCCGTGGGGCCCCCAGCTGATACCTCCCGGAGGAAATCAGCCAAGAGCAAGGGGGTCGGCTGTCGATGGTTGACATCACGGGCGGCACAGAAACGAAGCCAACGCCGTAGCGCCGAAGCTAAAGCTCCCAGCCTCTGAGAGGACAACCTCGAAGCACCCGCCATAGTAGTATCTTTGAGGCGCTGCACCTCCATGGGGTCTTGCAGCTGGGCTGCAGTAACGCCCAGCTCCTCCAAGCTCAGGACATTGTCAAGGACGAGGTGGAAGAGCTGGTCCAGCTTCGACAGCTTGGTGGCATCCTCCTTGGCGTGGGCATCCGAAGCTGCTGCGGCCACCAAGATAGGAGCTCGCTCCGCTGGGACCCCTGAAGGGACCAGGCGCCGCACCTTGGCAGAGGCCTCACTTGGCTGGCTCGGCACTGGAGTCTCGGCCCTGCGAGTGGGGACGCCCACACTCGAGTTCCGGACCTGAGCCACCTCCACGCCAAGGGCCTCAATCTGCTTCAGGCTGGCCCGCCTCGCATTGGTCCAGGCCACTGCAATGGCCATAGCTTCATGCCCTTGAAGTGCCCGGCCGGTCTTCTGCTCGAGCTCCCTGTAGCAATCCTGAGATGAGGACCACATGTACCTGAAGTCCCCAACCGATTGGATGCCCAGCTCCATCACGGCCTGGTGGATGTCATTGGGGACATCATGCAGCACGAGGTCCAGCTGCGGGGTCAACCCTCCGGCTGCGGGCAATGAGGCGCATGAGCTCGTCGGCGTTGAAGGACCCGTCCGACTGCCTTGGGATGGATGCTGTTGCCATCCTGACCGGCGGGTCGAGGGTGACAAAGTCTTCATCGTGGTAGCCCGAGACTTCCAGCACCTCCTCGTCGCCCTTGCGAGCCACTTCGTTGAAGAGCAGCCCTTTCTGGCGGCAACCGGTGCACAGGAGGTGATCCCGGTCACACTCTGTGCACACGGCGCGCGGCGGCCTGCCACAGGCCTCACAGAAGCAGCAGGTCCAGCAGCCGCACAGATCACACGGCTGGCCACCTAGGGCTCGAAGATCAGCCGCGGCCCTGTGGTGGCAAATGGCCCAGGCCTGTTTGGCCCCCGCCACCACCAGACGCTCCGCCCGCGTAAGGTCCCGGACCTCCACGGACGGGTGCGCCTGGAGGAAGTCGCGGGCTGCGTCCTTCCAGGCAGGCCAGTCCACCGGCTCCAAAGCCATGAGAAGATAGGATGGCTGCCTGGATGACTTGAGCCAAAATTGGCATAAGTCATCCAGCAGTCCAACCCATCTTTTCAAATCACATATAGACCCTACCCAACCAACCTACTCATATGTTAGAGTAATAATATAATATAATATAATATAATATAATATAATATAATAATATATAATAATATATATATATATATATGTTGGCTGTTTGGGATTGGATTTCATGTCCTGGCTGCTACGGTTGGACTGTTCTGAGAAAAAGGTCTTGATAGAGGAATGGATCAGCATGTTGTGACCAACGGTCAATCTTGAGATGAACCAATGTATCAGACCCTTAACAAGCACCCCCCCCCATACTGCAACAAAAAAAACACAGATTCAATTCAATACTACCTGCAGATCACGTCACTTAGGGGAAGGGATATGGTAAGCTTTCTTAAAGGACTGTCTTTCTTCCTTCTCTTCCTGGTTTGCTCCTCCACTTCCCTACTTGGAACTCCACCGAAAAGCTGTCGGACCAAAAAACGAATGTTTCGTGGTTGAGGCACGAATCAGCCGGTCACCGCCAGTCACCCACAATTGCTCAGACCTGTCGAAGATGATTGGGATCTGCTGCAACACGGACCTGAGAACCAAATGCTGCAATTTTTCCATCCACTGGGGTCTGGACTCCGCGGGGCACCAAGATGTCCGCGTACACATTGAGGCACCAAAACAGGTCAACCACGGTCAACCCCCGAGGCCACGGGCAAAGATCTCATCACGATCTCGAGAGTAGTAGAGCATCAGCACCTCGAGTTGCTAAGCTGCGAGCAATGATTGGTCCGCAATGAAAAATCACCTGTCACAGCACGAGCAATGCACAAGTGCACATTTGTTTGTTTATTTGAACACTCAGCTGAGGTGGGATGCAAGTGACACTGCACAGTCACGTCACCGCAAAAACCCACAGTCAAAAGAACAAGTAGCCGCAGCTCTGTAAAGCGGAGGTGTCTTTGACACGCCCATCTGTTCGGTCCATTCAGGCAAAGTTCATCTCATTTCCATTCACGGGCTTTGTTGTTGAGCTCAGTGTGCAAAGCCTCGAAGCCATGCTGTTGGTGCAAGCGATCTGGATCCTCAGCCCAACACATCAAGATGGCCTTGGTGCCGCTGCCCATGATTAACATGACTCCTCCACCGGAGATGGCGGCACTCACCAATCCCACCGCCAGACCTGAGCTGCAAGCAATGCTCCCAAACAAATGAAGATATTCCCTACAGATTCCCCAAATTGTGGAGAAAAACCAATGGATTTCCCTATAGATTCCCCCTGAATTCCTGGGAAGACACTGCAGGCGATCACGTCTCCTCGGGACATGCTGCCGCCAGTGTCCGTGGCCGTCAGGAGGCCGGCCAAGGCCGCGAGGCCGCCGCCGGCCACGGTGGCCAGGAGGAGGCCAAAGCCCACCACCCGGTCAATCAGCACGTCCCCAATGATGGCCTTCATCCTGGCCACTATGGGCCCCACAAGGGCACTTGGCAATGCTAACCAGCCCTTCTTTTTGAAGCTACTGTAACATCAATATGTCCCTATCCATTTTCTGTAAAACTCCAAGATTCCCAAATGATCCCAAACACTGGATTTAGTGTTGCTAATGGGCCCATAGGATTTAACCCATATCCATATCCAAACAAAAGTCGCCCAGCTCAAGACCAGGCATCCCCGTGCAAGAGATCAAGGTACAGGTGCCACGGGCAGAGTCGCAGAAGGAACCTCCACGCAAAGCGCACATGGCGTAGACCCACTCATTGAAGTACTCCATCCTCGGATTTGCTCATTTGGTTCCAAACATCAGAAGAATGTCCTGAATGTCCAATCCCCAGATCCAAATAGTGAAGCCCTGGGTTTTCATATCATCCCAGGCGGTATCCAGATCCAAAGGTGGCAGGAAAGAGTTACTGCAGGCAATGAACACATATCAACTTTCAACCCGCCTCCAGAACCATCCCGGAACGAGCACCCCCGAACCTAATGCTGCGGGGAAAAAAAAACATCTTCAGATCCAGGGATCAAATCACCAATGCAGCTGATGATGGCTTCCATGATCAGGGCAATCACACAACCCACGATGTTGCCATCCTCTTGGGCAGCATGCCTTATGCCTCGAACAATGGCTTCCACGGTGTTGATAGCAGCAACCATCATGGTGCCAAAACAAATGCTGCCGAAGGATGTAACTGTCGCCACATGCAGGCTCTTGAGCAGGGGTGCCTCATCCTCCTCAAAGTACCATCGACTGAAGACACCGCAGTAGGCCATGTGGGAAACGTTCCCGATCACGCCAATGCCCCACAGGAATACAAAGAAAAAGAAATAGATTGCACCGCTGTCCCCATCTGATGGCTCAGCTGACATGCCACCTGTGCGCTTGATATAATAAGCTAGATAGCCAAGAATCACTAAAGTGATCCAGAGAGGACCTACAAAACCTCCAATTGCAGAAATTACGACCATCTCTGACCTCTCACTGAAGGCTGTGGCCACCATCTGCACAATTTCAATGGTGAACGGGATATAGCGAGCCCAACAACACATCGTCAAGACAATCATCAGGCCGCCCAGCAGGCAAAGCATGATGCCAGCGTGAATGCTGCCACCAAGGAGCGCCAGCAGCCCACCCACCATCAGCAGGGCCGGAATGGCATAGAGTGAGAAGTAGACCACCGGGCTGGCGCAGGCCTTGGCAGCCATGATCCACAGGGCTGCTGAAACCAAGCCGCCCACTGCACCAGCCACACAAGCCAAACAGATGGAAGCAGCCAGGTGACGACCTTCTGACTCGGAGATGTGCATGTTGCCATCAGCTGCAAAGGTATGCTGCATGGGTTGTGACCCTGGATATGTCCCAGATTCTGATCCTCCGGGGGCATCATCCACAACATATCCATAGCTGGTCGTTTGGAGGTGCCGCGAAGAATGCGCCGCAGCTTGGGAGTTCAGCTCACCCATAGAAGTGGCCACGAAGAGGAGCAATGCGAGTAGAGTCAGCAGGAAGAGAATGGCCCAGGGAAGGTCTGCACAAGCCCTGCTGGCCGGGAACCTGGGAAATTGCTGCAAGAACTCCGCCCCACTCCGGATCTCCTCCTCTCGACCGGCGCGATGCTTCTCCGGAAGGTCACGCAGCTCTTTCAAATTCTGGAGGTCAACTTGTTGGTTGTTGACCAAGACAGTCCGAGAACTGCCATAATTCTGACCCACAGACAGAGCCATGTTAGACCGATCTGCTCGAAGCTAAATCAAGATACCCGTTAAGCTGAATCTTGCAGATGCTCAATGCTAGGATAGGAACACCAAAAATATCAGAATGTGATTCCGAAACAAAAGAAGCCCCGCAAAATCGCTTTAGAACATCCTGCCCAAAATGCCCGCGGAAATCCAAATTCTATACCCATTTGGATGAAGTCTAGAAGAGTCTCAAGTTAACTTCTCCCAACTCAGATCGCCTCTGGAATTCTCTATCGCACTCAGGTTGGAGCTAAGCCGGTGTCGCTGAGAGAATGGATCACCTGGTTCCTTTTCGCCTGGAGACAGGGCTATCAGCCAAGTGGCCAAGTTGATCAGAAGGACAACCCGAATTCTGGCAGCTTCTCAACTTGGGGAATGGCAGAAAAATAAGTGGGAAACGGCCATTTGTTGCTGATGTCCCGATATCCCCATTTTCTGAACTGAAGTGGTCAAAATCTGCGATGACCAAACCCTTCTGCCAAAGTATCCAATTTTGGGGCTTCATAAATCCCTGTCTCCATGTTCAATACAGATCTCGCCATTGATCTTCGAGAATAATGGACTCCTTGGCATTAATCCTTGGGGTCTGAAAGGTAGCCCCTAATCCGATCATAATTGGTCCCGATTATAGTAACCCCAAAACAGATGCAGAAAGGTAATTAAAATCAATTAAAATCCCACTATTTAATAGTGACCGATTATATAGTGGGTTACTATTACGATTACTATAAAATCCCACTAAATTAAAGTCTATAATATATATATATATATACATATATCTGGTTGGTGGTGTCAACCCCTCTGAAAAATATGAGTCAGTTGGGACTATGATTCCCAATATATGGAAAGTCATAAAATTCCATGGTTCCAAACCACCAACCAGATATATGGGTATGGGTCAATACCTATAGATACATTTTTAGTGGGATGAACATACATTTACCAGCTATTTTGGGGTTCACTAGGTACCAGGGTTTTGACCCATCCCCATATAAGATAGAACTTGGGTGTGACTATTGTCCATAGCCAAATTTGAGGGACCAAGCTCTTGGATCCAATCGCCTTCCACGACTCCATCTGTCGGATCTGCTCGTGGTTGGGTTGCCGCAAACCACGAGCTTCCTGAAGCCAACAGCAGATTGGGAGGAAGGAGTCCAACAGAGGAACCTTGAAGACTAATGTAAAAATTGCGGAGATAGGGGATTCACTCTCCTATCCTTTTTTGGGGATTTTTGGGAAGTCCCAAGAAATACCATTCAACAACCATATTGTTCAACATAAGTCTTGGGCGTGAGACTGGAATCATGGGGGTCAATCTCCTCCCAAAAGAGCTTGGAAGTGCAAAATGACCTACTCAAAGATGATGTTCACATCTTGAATGAGAATCTCCAGTTGCAAAATGGTTTCGGCAACCAACAATGCTGGAGATAGGAACCACCCCCTGATTGCACGTGTTCCTAAATCGTACGCTGTTCAGCCTGCATTCGACCGTCAACAGGTGCCCAGATCCAGCAGTTTATCATCACTTTATCCCATATTTTCTTCCTTCCACCTCTCGGATGGGACTTAACATGACTTAACACCAGAGAACGGGGCATTAAGCCACTTCACTTTGTCCAATATCTTGCCTCGTCTTTCTCTGCTTCACCCCACCGCAGGGTCGAATGTGTCTGGCACAGGGACGACATGCTGACATCAACTGTTTTGTGATGTTATATAATCTCCAAAATGTGCTCATGCCTTGGGATCACCATCTGAAAATCTATTCGCATTATATTACAATATATATATATATATATTGTATATAGATGAAGAAACATTCTTCAGAAATCACCAATGGTTTGGGTCAAGACAGCAGATGGCCGTTCTCTTTTTCCACTCGCTCCCTGCCCTGGCCATGTTTCCAGCACGTTGGCAGATCACACGGTGGCAGGTTGTCATCCGGGGCGGTTCTCTCCCTTCACTTGGGGTAGATCAGATCGTAGTGCCTGGAAACCAGGATGCGTTGGAGTCTGAAAATGTCTGAAATCATCAAAACCATCAGACACATCGAAGTGCGTTGGCGTTCGATCAGAATCTTCAAGCCTGAGCCCCCGACCCAGGTCGATAGAGCAAGTGGATCGGAGTGAATGGAAGAGTAGAGTCATGCGCCTCAGGCCAGTCGTGCCAGTTGTCACGCGATGCCTCCTTCCTAGAATGTTGTCATTTGTTTGAACCAAAAAGTCATCATCCCCACCGCCGCCGCCACCACCACCACCAGCATCATCATCATCATCACCATCATCATCATCATCATCATCATCATGGTCATCCTCGTCATCGTCATCGTGATCGCCATAATTACCATCATCATCATCATCACCATCATCATCATCATCATCATCATCATCATCATGGTCATCCTCGTCATCGTCATCGTGATCGCCATAATTACCATCATCATCATCATCATCATGGTCATCCTCGTCATCGTCATCGTGATCGCCATAATTACCATCATCATCATCATCACCATCATCATCATCATCATCACCACCACAGTAATAGTAGTAATAATCATAATCATAGTGACAATCATGACGCTAATCACAAGGATAGTCACAAGGATGATAATGATAATAATAATCATAAAAGTAATTAGACTAATTATGATCAAAATAGTTTTAAAAAAAAAACGGTATTGTATAATGATAATCATGCGTTAATATAATGATCATAATGATAATAATAATATGTAATAAATAGATACAGTAACAATCACCAGCACTTCAACGCTTCAGATTCCAATGTTGCAGCACATCCATGACCCAAAACCCATCGCCCGTTCGTCTCGTCCCAGTTGCGAAGGGATGTTCGGCAGCTGAACCCTCGGAGCGATCCAGGTACACCACTGTGACCTGGGGCCGGCAATGATCACCTGATGTTTCCTAAAAGGACACAGTGAATCACTAGGTAAATCATTACCAGTCACTGGGAAAGATTGGAATAATGAAGAAAAACAAGGGCGGTTTGGTAAATCAATATTCCAATCTACCTTTTGGTTGTTGAACGAAGGGAATCTTTGGTTAATCAACCAACCAGTGGGAATCTGGGACATCTATGGTTGCCATACAGACCATGCCCCATTTCCAAAAGTTTACCATTTGGTGGTATTGTGGTATTAAAGCCATACCCAAAAGGGGATCTTAAACTGGGCTTCACATCCTTGGCCTTTTGGCTCAAAAGCCTTTGTTTTGGGGCCTATCGCAGGTGTATAGCTAGAAGTCCAATCCCCCAGTCATATGGATGTATGGATGGTTTTGAGTCAAAATTGGTGGGTTTTAATGGAGCCTCAGCTATAAATGGGATTTTTTTGACCTATCCACATTCTGTTTTCATCTCCAAACCCATTGATTAAAGGGGCGTTTAACCGTCAACCACCAGGACGGAACTGGGCATCGTTCACCATTGGGAGAAGTGTCTGCTATGGGATCTTTAGTATTGTATATTGATTAATTCCAAACATTTCTGAAACATTTTATACATATACATATACATGTATATATATATTCCATGAAACAAAATGGATACCCCAAAAACCCAGTGGTATCTCCCAATGATTTGCCAAGTTATCCCAATTTTCCACAGCAGAACCAGCCCCAGTTGCTCCCAACTGGGTCGGGGTCCCGCTGAGGGACCCAACTGGCACCTGAAGCTGCGAAGACAGCGCCGTGATCTGCAAATGATCAGCTTCGGTGGTCATGGGATCCACCTCAAAACGAGATCCACATCGCTCATCGGCGATCCGAAAAATCATCATCCCATTTGTCACTTAACCATATTTTATGGTAGATATAACTATAGTTCAAAGGTCTTGGCTCTGCAGGGGACCTGTCCCCCTGTTAAAGCTTTAGAACTTAGCGGGCGTCGGGACCCGCGGGCGCGCAGCAATTTGCCTTTGTGCGCCTTCTTTGCATTCTTGTGCTCTGAACGTTTTGTGCTAGCGTTCAACACCATTGCTGGCAGTGCTCTATCTCTCTGAGTTTCAGGAGGTACTCGGGCTTGCATTCCCGCGCACTATTAGGTGGAGTTTGACCTGATCCTCGCCTATTTCTACGCTGGGTTGTGCTTTTTATGCTCTTTTACCTCGTCTTCTTGGCCTTCTTCTTCCTTGCCCACGATTACGCCATCGCAGAGGCGCAAAGAGCGCAGGGAGAGGGCGCGAGCCAGACTCAAGTGGCACCTTCACCGGCAGGGAATCCAATTTTTGGACATTCTCCAGCTCACGAAGTTGTTCCACGTTCTGGCCAAGCATCACTCAAAGGATACTGGACTGCTACGCAAAGTGCGCTCAGCCATGACGAGCACAACGAAAGATCCATGGAGGTGTGCCTTTTGCAAAAGGCTGAACAAGTCGGTGGCCGCCCACTGTGGGAAGTGCGAAACCAGATGGGAGCGATGCATCGACATCTACTATGTCCATGGACAGAATGCGAGAAAGGAGCAAAACTGGTCTTATGTAGATTGGGAAGAAGAAGGAACAGGATGGTCCGGACGGCAACAAAGCCGTGGACGGAATGCCTCCAACCGGAGAGATTCATCCCGGAGGAGGGATCAAACGCCTCGAGGTCACAAAGGAAAGGACAGTCCCCGTCGGAGAGGTCCCCGGAAGAAGGGCAACAAGGAGGAAGCTTTTACCTTTCAGACTCTTGGCGGGCAACCTCCACCGTGGCCTACACAAGAAACTTCCTTCTCTACATCATCAACAGGTTATGCGAACTATGCTATGCCTCAAGCACCATTGCCACCACCTTCAACACCACCGCCTGCATCCCCTCCTATTCAGGTGGATGCTTCATTGGTGGCTGCTGTGAGAAAGGAGTACCCCGACTTGAGCAAAGCTCCGGCGGAGATCAGGGAGGCAATGGAAAAGGCGGAGACGATGTCGTCGCAGCAGATTGCTTCAGCACTTCATCGCTCTACGAATCGAGTCCGGCAATCAACGGACAAGCTCCGAGCGCTGCAAGAGTCGCAGCGTCGACACAAGGAATCATGGCATGTGCACCTGAAGGAAGCCATCACGAGTTGGGAGAGTCAAGTGCAAGCCTTCACATCCCAGCAGAACTCCTTCAAGGATATGATGGAATTGACACGTGCCGAGCTTCAAGCAGCAAGGAAAGAAATTCAGAGGCTGAACCATTTGGCGGCTGGCACTGGGAAGATCATGCAGATCCCCACGGTCGACCTCACAGAGCCGGAGGAGATTGTGATCGACACTGCGGACAGCACTGCATTGATGGAAAAAATGCAATCCACGCTGCAGAAGTGCTCCCAAATTATCCTGGATCCAGGAAAAGGGGAGAGAGCTGTGAGTGTGCCATCAGACGAAGACATGTATCAGCCAGCGAACAAGCGCCAGAGGTCAGCAGATCCAGGTGCAAAAGACACCGCTATGGGAGGCGGCAGTCTTGGTGGTGGCTCATCGTGATGCTGGGCGACGGGGACTTGGGTCCTGATTGGATCAATAGCCGTGCGCCATTTCATGGTGACCCTTGGCGTGCTGACCACACTGAGGCCTATGTCCATCTCAGCGATGGATGTGCAGCATGTGTGGCAGGCCTTGAGGGTCAGGTTAGCCCCATTTGGCATGCCCTCCACTCAATTCGGGAAGAAGAGGACTTTGTTGATGTTTTCAATGCTCTGCACAATGCGACTGATTTGCGAAGCCAAGTCATCGCTGACCTGCAGCCCCCTATTTCCATCAAAGTTTCCTCGACGCTTTGGTCAGGGGTACCTTTGCGTCCAATTTTGAGATGTATGAGATCATGTTGGAGTCTATTTGCGCCTTTATTTCCTGGGCAGTTTGGTCAAGCCTTCCACCACTTTGACGGGGTTTGTGGAAGTTTGAAGGCAACCAGCACTTGTTCCCGTGTCCAGTTCAATGAAGCAGTCCAATTGCGCTTTTGTGACCAACATGATCGTACCACAACAATTGAGGTCTGTTCTACGAGACTGACTGACCTCCTCAATGATGACTCCCTTTGCCTCAGCCTGCTGGAGCCGCCAGCACAGAGGTCGTCGAGCCGCAGGCAGGCACATTTCACTGATGCCCATCTAGTTTCAGGCGGTGATCTTCACCTGACTATGCGAGGAGTCGATCAAGGACTTCAACCCAATTTCATTGACGCTGATCTTGCGCAAGACCTACCGCAATTCTTGCACCAACTTCAGCGAACCTTTAGAGAACGAGGACTTCAACTTGGCCCGGATGCAGCACTGCAAATACGCACATGGTACATACACCATTGTGATCACGACAGATGCTACGCACCACGATTTGTTGAGCTGGAGGGTAATCCTGCATCCTGGAGCAACGACATTGCCCAGGCTTGGCAAGATCTTGTTTTGCGTGATCTACCATTGAGCTTCCACTTGGTTCATCCAGATTTACCTCGTTGGACGCATGACGAACCTGAGAGAGAGATTCATGCTGACCTCATTGTCGCTCAAGGTGATCCAAACTGGCATGCGGGACTCCTTTTAGTTTTCCCGGGACCACATATCCCTTCATTTGAACTTGCAGCTTCGCTCCCAAGATTCATCAATGGCAATGACCTTGTTCGTATCGCACAGGCGGAATTCTGGCTACACAATGCTCGTTGTCGAGTTACCCATGGATGGCATGAAATTCCACTTCTACCTGAACAACCGCACCCGACTGCAGATGGACAGTCCTTTGTCTTGGCATTCACGCCCAACATGGCACGTGAGTGGGATGAAGTTGACTCTCAGGCCTCTGAAGGAGACGCCTATGAATCGGATTATACTGTTGCTGAAGCTGACGAGCATTTGCCGTGGCAGTCAGTTGCGGTTTTTGATACCGAAGCCCATTCAGCGAGAGGCCGAGTGCCCTTTGCACCGTATGAGGCCTTCTTTCGACGAGTGCGAGCGATCATTGGACTACGACATCATGACGTGTCGCGCATTGTGCAGATCACACCCACGCCTGATGATCTTTCGGCGCTGGTCATTACGCCACTGTTGATACTGCGCCAGGAAGACTTCGAAGAAGGCGACTTCGCAGGGCGGCACTTGTGGATGTGGAGCACCATGGAAGTCAATGGACTACACCAGTGGCTACAGACCGCTTTGTGATCAAGCTGCCTGATGTGATCCACCGTGCCAACTTCCTTGCTTGGATACGAGTCGATAGATTCTGCACGCGCTCCAAAGACCGCTGCCTCGTTTGGCACAAGGGAATCCTCGTGCCGAAGCAGTCCATGCAGATGATGCGCATTCAGCATGGGGACTATATTCGTGTGGCAATACCGCCATTCAAGCATGAACAAGTACCCACTCGACTTGCGGTCCAATGTGCACAAGCAGGTTTCTCGCCTCAACAGACCCTACGCCGTTTTCAACAGCGAGGAGATGACACAGACAGCCTGTATTCAATGATCAGTGCAGCGCAGCCCACAGGAGATGCTACTGCCTTCTTCCAGCTTCATTGTACAAGTTCTGGAGATGCCCCATCGACCACATGGGATCAGGCACACCCGCAAGCCTTTGCAGTTAGGCCAACTGATGATGACCCGAGACCTTCATGGATCTCACAGATGCATGCGGCATTCACGGAGGAAGCTTGCACAGAATTTGATGAAGAAGGGCCAGTTGCCTATGTTGAGACATGGTTTGTCAAGGGCTACTTTGCGCATGTATCTGAACACTCCAAAACTTTCCGACTCACCCAAGAAATTGCTTGGTGGCGAGATGAGCTGATCGAGCTTTGGCGAGACAAAATTGATCTCCACAGGCCAGTCCAAATCTATTGGGTCCAGCCAACGCCTATTACGAGCTCTACACGAGAGCGATTGGGTCATATCATTCTTTGTCAAGACGTGAAAGATTTTCTGGCACCGGCTCTTTTGACGGTTGAGTTCCATGCGGATGATTCATATCGCTTTGGACAAGCGGCTGCTATGTTGCCGAACCCTGTCACGGTCTTTGACATCAAGCACTTAGCACGTTTGGCGAGGCATTGCTCGTCAAGACGCTGCACATTACGACATGGACGCCAATTTTGGAGTGAGCATGAGGCTCGACGTTTCTCTGCAGGTGCTGGTCTCACCTTTGGAGTGCTCCCACCCATCAGGGATCTACATGTCGGAAGTGAACATGTTTCCTCCCCATCGCTGGAACCTTCGAACATCCATGGACAGGACGAAGAGGAGGACATTATCCCTGCACAACCTCCACTCCATGATCAATCCCTCTTTACGAGAAGGCTCTTTGAATTATGGGATCGGCAAGCTGTTTTTGGCCCAGCGCATCTCGAACGGCTCTTGCGTGTCGAGACTTGGTATCTGGAAGGGCGTCATGTCAAGCACCATGATGAACAGCGCAATGTCATGCTTGCCGAGGATTACTGGACCTGGGAAGGGATTCTGACCCATCGGTGGCGCGACTTCGTACTGCCAGGCATTGATGTGGACTTCACTATTGTGACGCCAACTCCATCCTCGGCTCCGCCTCTTGAGATCCATATTATTTTGCACCAAAGAGTTTTTGAGTTCGATCGGCCAAGCATTGTGACGGTACGAGACAATGCCGTGCTGCGCGGCCATGCCTACACAGCCGCCGTTTTGTTGCCCTCAGCAGTGACCAAGGAAGACATCATACTTCGTATGGGAAAGACATTTAGCTGTCCTCCGCAGCGGCCGGATGCAGTCTGCACATGCTGGCACGGTGCCCTCGAGGTCGAAGATTTTCGCCCTTTTCCCAATAGGGATGGATTTGCATTTGATCTGCATGTCCACCGCCAGCTTCCTGTTGGTTTTTGGTCTGATGAGGAGGAGGACACTGGTGCTGCGGCTTCCACAAGCCTTTTGCAGTTTTCGCTTCAGGCTCGGCGTGCCCCAGTGCAGGAGCAGATTCAGCCTGATGAAGAACCACCGGCTGACCCAGTGAGAGCAGATTCAGGGAGCCTTTCCTCCGAAACTCAATGGATTGACATGGCCCCTGCCATCCGGCAGTATGAGTGGATTGACACGCATTTCTTTCTGCCTCAATTTGACGTGCCTAACCTGCCTGAATGTCATGCTGCATGGGAGTGGATCCAGCACTGGTGGGACCCTTCTCAGCCATGTTTCCAATTATGCATCTACACTGATGGCTCGTTCTCAAAGGTTGTGAAGGAGCAGGAGGCACCTGGTGGTGCAGCTGTTGCGGCCTTCGTTTTGCAGCCTGATGGATGGAGATTTGCGGGAGCTCTTAGCAGTGCGCTTGATGATGCCACCAATGCGTATGTCTCCGAGCTCTCAGCGATTACAGTGGCGATTAAGTTTGCCTACGACATCATCAAGATGAATGTGGCCGGCTTCGGCTTTGCACCGTCATTTGTGTGTCGCCATGATGCCACTACGGTCGGTCGACAAGCAGATGGATCGTGGCAATGTATCTCATGTCCCTTGCTGGGCAAGGCGCTTCGCAGCATAGTGCTTTTAGTCGAGCATGCGTTTGACGTCATTGTCAAGTTCGAACACATCAAGGGTCATAGTGGTGAGCCAGGCAACGAGCTTGTGGACTTCTTGGCAGATGCAGCAAGAGTAGGACAAGCTCTTACACCTTTTGATGAGTGGTTGGGCTTTATCTCGCAGAGACATATTGTGGAAGCTGTGCAATGGGTCTGGCTCATCGTCGCACCAGATTTTGCGGCGTGTTGGCAAGAGCAGTCCATTGCCTTCCCCCCACCACAGACCACACCTCATCCAGATCTACTACCAGTTCCTGAGACCCATGCAATGAGTCAAGAAGATGCCAGTGATCAAGGTGCTCTCATTGAGCTATCCATCGCTACTTGCAACGTCCTGACCTTGAAAGGAAAAGACGACCAGCTGACAGGATTGACAGGGGTCGCTCGCCAGCGAATGCTGATGCAGCAAATGAAAGATGAGGGCATTGTTCTCTTTGGACTTCAAGAGACAAGGCTGCAAAAGCTGCATTCAGCTTATGACCTTGACTATATCGTCTTCAAGAGCGCAGCAACCAAGCAGGGCCATTACGGCCTTATTGCAGGTTTTGCTAGGCAGAAGCCATATGGGACAGTCCAGGGCCAGCGCCGCAAGCTGTTCTTTCATGAGAGCCACTTTGCCATCATCGCCTATGACCCGAGATTTCTTCTTCTCCGTGTCGCTGCTCCCTTCCTTCGGATGATTGTGGTGGTTGCACACGCCCCCCACTCTGGGGCTGATGTAGGTGAGCTTGAAGGATGGTGGGGTGCCCTGTCTGATGCAGTACCGCCGACTTATCGCAGTTGGCCGTTGCTCCTTCTGTGTGATGCAAATGCGGCGGTGGGAGCTTCTACGTCAATGCACATTGGCGACTATCAGGCTGGCAAGGCTGATGATAAGGCAGCGCCTTTCGAAGACTATATTGCCCGCACTGGTCTATGGCTGCCTTCCACATTTGAGCAATATCAGAAAGGTGACGGCCACACGTGGGCGCACACGTCAGGCAGCGTGAAGAGGTTGGACTATGTGGGGCTTCCCCTTTGCTGGAAGTTGCAAACATGCGAGGCATGGGTGAGTCAGGCGATTGATCCGGCCATCCTTCGAGCTGATCATTCCGCAGCATGTGTGGCCCTTTCCTTTATCTCTGGCGACAGAAACACTCGCAAACCACATCAAAAGCAGACTCTACGCCACTTGGACGTGAAGGCCATTGAGTGGGGAGGCCTACAAGCTTCATGCGATCTACAGGTTGATGTGCATTCACATCTTGACCATCTTCAAAGCCAACTGGTCGAGCACTTGATCCCACAAGGCCGTTCTGGGCGCAGGGTGCCGATCAAGCAGACTATGTCTGATGCTACTTGGGAGCTGGTTTGTGAGAAAAGGGACTGGAGGCAAACACTCCATGAACATCAGAAGACCCAACGCCACTCCATTTTGAACCAGATCTTTACAAGTTGGAGAGATGGACGTGCTGACGCCATTGCTGAATTTGACCGATTGCATGCAATGCAGGACCGCCTTATTGCTGGTGCTCTATGGCAGTTCAGACGTTTGGGGCGGCTTGTTTCTGCAGCGCTGCGAAAGGACGATTGCCGATTCTTCGAATCGCTTTTGGCAGAAGGAGCAGAGTTCCTGAACCCGGCTGAGGTCAAGAACCTATGGCGAACGGTCCGTCGCTCTCTGCCCAAATGTCAGCAGCGAAAGATTGGATACAATCCACACAATTTGGTCTCTTTGGAAGGGCAATGGGCGCCGCACTTTGAAGCGCTTGAATGTGGAGTGCCTCTTGCTGGTTCCAGCTTGGTTGACCATTGTGCTAGAGCAAATCTTTTGGCTCAGGAAGGGAGGCCGCGACAGGTAACTCTTCAACAACTCCCTTCTCTCTGTGAACTTGAGGATGCGCTTCGACAGACGCAGGCAGACAGATCGACCGGCTTCGATCCGGTGCCATCTGCGGTCTACCACCTCCACGCCCCCTTCCTCGCGAAGTATTTCTACCAAGTGCTTTTGAAGGCCTTCATGTGGGGTTGTGAACCCGTCCAGAGCAAGGGAGGCGAGCTGAAGATGTTGCCCAAAAAACCAGGTGCCATTGAAGTGCAGCATTTTCGAGGAATTTTGTTGCTCCCAACATTTGCAAAGCGGCTGCATGCGATTCTACGAGCGCGACTGATGCAGCAGACAGCTCTTCGGCGAGATCCTGGACAAATGGGAGGTTTCAAGGGCCAGCAGGTAGCCTTTGGCTCACACCTCATTCGAGCCCTCACCAACGTTTTTGCTGCAAAGGGCTGGAGCTCCGCAGTTGTCTTTGTGGACCTATCGACAGCCTTTCACCACTTAGTGAGGCAGCTCGTGGTTGGAGTTGGGGAGACTGAGGAGCTCAAGGTGGTATTGGAAGCATTGGCGCACTCACCGAATGCTGAGGCAGCAGGACAGTTAGGGCGTCACCTCGTTGGCATCTTGGAACATGCGGGGATTGATGTGCTTCTTCTACGCCTTCTGCGGGACGTGCATTCGGGGACCTGGTACTCTTTGACGGGTGCTACCCTGACCCAGACCCATAGAGGGACGAGACCAGGCTCTCCGCTGGCGGACTCCATCTTTCACATCTTGATGGGCGATATCGCCAAGAGTCTTCGCCGATGGATTTGCATGCAGAGTGACTATATCAACCTGCTGAGCCAACTTGAGCTTGATCCCATCATGGTGATATGGAGCGATGACCTTGCCGTCCCATGGGCTACCTCTACAGCGGCAGCTCTGCCTCTGGCAATTGAGAAGCTTGTCCAGGAGATTGACACTCAGTTTGGCCGCAGAGGATTTACAGTGAATTTTGCGAAGGGCAAAACGAGCGTCGTGCTCTCTCTGATTGGAGCAGGAGCGCCGGATTTGAGGCGCAGCCTTCAGCTTGGGCCCAACCCCGGCATGGAAATTCGACTCCAAGGAGACCGTGTCCAATGGCTTCACTTCGTAGCTTCGTACAAGCATTTGGGAACTCTTTTCTCTTCCAGCCATGATTTTGAGCCAGAACTGCGCCAGCGGTTGGGTATGGCCAGAGCTGCGTTTAGCCAATCCTCCAGAGCAGTTCTCCGAAATCGGCACTTCCCTTTGAAGCTGCGCGTGCAATTTCTGCATTCGTTGATCTTTTCGCGGCTTTTCTTTGGCTTAGGCGCTTGGACGACTCCATCACTACAGCAGATGAAGCGGCTTAGCACTGAGTATGATCGGATGCTGCGAGCAGTGCTGCGATGTCAGCCAGGTGATTTGGTTTCACACCAACAGCTTTTGGTGTGGACTGACTCGGTTGATGCTCGAGTCCGGCTCGCAGTTGACCGGCTGGGATACGCTCGGCGCCTGTTCCAAGTGGGACCTGCGGAGCTTCACCAGATTCTGCATTTGGAGAAGGCCCACTGCCAGACTTCTTGGATTGATGGTTTGGTTGCTGACCTCCAATGGGTGCGCGAGATTGTGCCGCAAGCAATCCCACACTTTGAGGGGACTGACCTGACTGCAGTCATCGATTATTGGCAGCAAGAGGGCATCCCATGGAAGAGCCATTTGAAGCGAGTCGTGAAAAAGCACAAGCTTCAGGAGGAGATGATGTCTGAGGTCCATATGGCACATGATACCATTTTGAAGACTCTCCGACAAGCTGGAGCCACATTTGTGCCTGATAGTGATCAGGTTTTTGGACATCCGCGAGCGGCATCATCGTTTGATTGCACATGCGGTCGCAGCTTCAACACACCGCAGGGACTGGCACTCCATCGCTGGAAGGTTCATGGGATCCATGCACCGGAGCACGCCTTTGTCACTGGCGCGACTTGCCCGGCTTGCCTACAATATTTTTGGAGCAGCAACCGTCTGGCGATGGCCACGAGGAGGAGAAGTGAATCAGTGCTTTGACTATTTATCGCGCATGGGCTTCCAGGCCCCTTTTGAGGCGCAGTGCCTACCTCCGGCCCTGAAGGGAGCAGTGAGGTTGGATGCCTTGAGAGCGGAAGGGCCACTCCGGCCGTTGGTGCCATATCAGCAGGAATTGCTTGGCCATATTGAGCAGGAGTTGGACACCCACTATAAGCACCTCATTCCACAATGCGTGCCTGAGGATCCTGTGGATGCTGGACTTCGTCTGGGCGACACTTTGACGACAGGTACGCGCAAGTGGGTTCAGGCCTTTTGTGCGCGGCAGGCGGAGCATCTGCCAGATCTTATTGATTGGTGGTTTGGATGTTTGGCGACGTTTGGCACTGACTTCGAAGATTGGGCAGCGGAGACTTTTGTTGCCTGGGGTGAGCATTGCCTACCCGATATCTCCGACAGCGCTATGGATGGTGAGGTTGAGTATGTCTTGGACGAGGCCTATAGCGAGATGGTGGACCTCCTTCCGTGTACTTTGACAAGGAGGAAGATTGGCGCCTTGCTCCAACGACAGCGCAGTCTGCAGGCCGAACTTGCGGCACCTTTGCAGCCTCATCGACCGGTCCGTCGCGGCACGGCAAATCCGAAAGAACGTTCTGCCACAAGGCATCGAGTGCCTAGCCTTTTCTCCGAGCAGGGAAGTTGGCAGTCATTATTTCGCTCTATTGCTTGGCATGCGGTGCCTGAAGACCGCGGCATCCCTTTGTTGTCTGCGCCAGGGGAGCGCCCTGTTCTATTGGTCGTGCACCTGTTCTCTGGAAGGAGAAGAGCTGGGGACTTCCACTGGCATTTGCAGCACATGGGAGACACGATGGGTGTGACATTCGTGATCTTGTCCATGGACACTGCCGTGTCCCCCTTTTGGGGGGACCTACATCGTTCATCACCATCCTGGAGGTTCCTTGCGCGGTGCTACGATGCCGGCCTTGTAGCTGGAACATTGGCCGGCACACCGTGCGAGACTTTTTCAGAAGCTCGATTTACGGAACCCCCTGAGGGACTATGTGTTCGATGGCCCAGACCGGTTAGGTCAGCGGAGCTGCTTTTCGGCCTCCCAGGCTTGACCCTCCGCGAGTTGAGGCAGGTCCAGCTCGGCTCGAACTTCTTCTTGCAGGGGCTTGAGACGTTGAGTACTCATCTGGCGATGGGAGGTTTATTCCTATCTGAGCACCCGGGAGTTCCACTACGACCAGAACGACCTTCAACATGGCGTGCGGCCATCACAGAGCTCCTGAGGAATCATCCAGATGTGCACCTTTCTCACATTAAGCAATTTGAGTTTGGAGCAGAGGCAGTGAAACCCACCGGACTTCTGGCATGCAGAATGCCGAAACTTCTACGCATCCTGCGAAGCCTGGCCATGCCGAATGCGACGAAGCCTAGTGAGGTAGCAATAGGTGTTGGCCCGGATGGGGCATTTAGGACCGCCAAATTAAAAGAATATCCACCTCTTCTTTGTGAAGGCTTCGCTCGAGCATTCTGCGAGCATTTCCGCTCCGCTATCCGAGCTGGCCATGTCCGATTTTTGCCGGCGTGGGCAACCACTTTTGGTGACCTGAAGGAATGGGTGACGGGCGCAGCAGATGCAAGTGCTGCGATTCGAGCCAACGCAGCTTGGATGCCCGATCACCAGCCCAGGCACACATAGCCGGCATGTCTTTTGTATCTTTAATTCGAGAATTGTGCATTAGCAGCAAGGGAATAGACCCTTTCGAGCAGGCAAATTGGCAAAAAAAACTATAGTTCATGGGGATTATTTCATGGTTTATAAATATTATAAACCAACTTATAACTGGGGGGCCCCATCCTGTACATGATCATCCCAATATCCCTGGATATTTGTAAATGGATATATTGGGATATTGGGATGATCATCCCATTAATGATAAATAAGTCCTGGAACCCTGGATCATCCCGATGAATCTTATCCCTTTATGATAAATTAATATACATCTGTGATGTTTAGAAAAAAAAGAAGTCCTGGAACGAAACATGATGTATGCCAGAGAAAGTTGATATTCCAACATGTGGCCAACGTATTCATTTCATAAGAAAGCCATGTGAAAAATCCCTGGAACGGCCATGATCTTATCATCCCATGTGGGCAAATTAGAATGAGCCAATTTAGCCAAAATTCTTTGGCAAAAGCCTCAGCTTGGCAAAATTCTTTGAATTCTGATATTTCAGAAACTGACACTATCATCAGCTTGCTTTTTTGGAGAAAATGTTGTCAAAATGGCTCACAAAAAAACCGAATGAATTATTCGAAAATTGTCCAAAATGATTCATGTCTTCGATGATTCCCCATACTACTAATCATCATATCTGGTTGAAGTCTTGGTCAGGTAATGTGCCCAGTCCCATCAGCGGGGAAAAAAATTAACGTCACATTTGGAGGCTTCCACTGATCAGCACCCAGAACTGCGTGAGTGCTTTACATCATCGGCAGAACAGATTGGTTTATTGATGATAATAATAATTGTGATAATCCATCATGAGAGTCCTTATCAACCAATATAGAATGGGATGTTTGGGATGTAAAGGGATGCAATGGGGATAGAATCAGATGTCCCAAATGATGGCTTGCAGTGACTGGTCGAAGCCTGGCCTCCTGTGCGCAAAACTGCTGCACAGAGGAATGCGCGGTCAAGAAGCAGGCAAAGTCCTCCGGACTGATGACTTGCGTGGAAAATAGCTGTGGATCTGTGACTAAAATCCTCATCAACTCCACTTTGGGATCCCCAAGAAATGACCTTCAAGAACGTCAAACAAGTATTTATATGTGCATTCCATTTGCCCCAAATGGTTGCCAGAAGTTCAAGGGGTCATCTCTCTTTCTTCAACCAACGACATGGGAAAGTAACACATGTCTTGCGGCAGAGAAAATACCCCAGCGCCCGAAACAGCACGATGGAGGCCAACCTGTGGTGGATAATCATCCAAGATGGGATATGATCAAAAGAACTGGGAACGATGACTACCCTCTGGTAAACATACAAAAAACTATGGAAAATCACCATTTTTCATGGGAAAATCCACTATTTCTATGGCCATTTTCAATAGCTATGTTAAATTACCAGAGGGTAACAAGAATTGGAGATGTCCAGAAATTCTTTGGGCCAGTCAACACCAGGTTTTTCATGGTCTTCTTTGAAAGCCAGGTTTACACAAAGGCAGATGCGGGACAAAACCTGAGACCTAGAGCCCTAGGGACCCAAATTCTGACGGGACCCATCCCATCAGCTTCGGCTGCACCTGCTCGTGACGCTTCAGGTACGCTGACCTCACTGCTGGATGGTCCGCCAACTGGTTGCTGCTCAGATGTCTGGGCCCTTGAAAGGCTCGGACCCTACTTTGCTTCATGTTTCATAGCAAAAAGACTTGGGAAAGGGCACGTTACGTCACAATTTTGATGTTGGTGATTTCGTCAATTGTGCTAGGATTGATTCCCACTTTCTGACTTCAACCATTCTCCCACCTGCACCCCCCTTATTTCATGCCAAGCGTCGTGAGCACGCGGGCCCAACAGACCAGGTAGCGGTCCTTCTCATCAGTCCACAAGTCCTGCAGGCCCCTGGTCCACCAACATCGGATCATCAGAGGGTCCGCTTAAGCTTGTTGTTTGGGAAAATCTGATTCTTACCATCAATATATATATATATATGTGTGTGTGTGTCTGTGTCTGTGTATGTTTGGGCATACATATACGTATGTGTATATATGTATATATGTATATATGTATATATGTATATATGTATATATGTATATATGTATATATGTATATATGTATATATGTATATATGTATATATGTATATATGTATATATGTATATATGTATATATGTATATGTATGTATGTGTATATATGTATATATATATGCACTAAATTGCAGATTTTTGTCTCCATGGACTGTGCCCAAACGGCACCAGGTGCAAAAAAGCCAGTGAGTGGCTAAGCAAAATCAATATGTTTCAGATTTCACTACAGCTTTCACATTGATGGGTAGCACCGCTTCATAGTGCTGGAAACTAACATAGGCCAGCCACGCAGGAGGGCCCCAAGCATCAGCAACTATTTGCAAACCTTTGTCCAAACCTAAACTCCCAAGAGTAGCCATTGTAAGTCCAAGGCACTGAACTCCAGAGGGAAGTGAACTGTACAAAGAAATATACAAACACTAAACTCTATAGTTTAGAACTTGAACTCTGGATTTTAGTCATTTTCTATATGTATATATATATGTGTATGTATGTATGTATGTATATATATATATGTGTGTATGTATATGTATATGTATATATGTATATATGTATATGTATATATGTATATGTATATATGTATATGTATATATGTATATGTATATATGTATATGTGTATATGTATATGTATATATGTATATGTATATATGTATATGTATATATGTATATGTATATATGTATATATGTATATGTATATATGTGTTATGTGTGTGTAATTACATGCATATATATCTATATATGTATACTTACGTATGTAAATGTACATATATATATACATAGTGTGTATATATATATATACGTATATACATAGATATGTATATATATATATATATATTTATATACATATATGTACATATGTATGTATAAATATGTATATATATATATACATGTACACATGTATGCAAAAGAATGATTATATATGTAGACGAATATTTGGCTCCCACAAAAAAAAAAAAAACAATTCCAGGATTTAAAGATCTTGCCGACAAGCACAAGAGTGTTTGGATGGGAACAAGCATGGGATTTGCCAACAGAAAGGAACACAAAGTGAGTTTTTGTTAGTATCATCCATGAACAGTCAAAAGCCATCCATGGTGAAGGTTAGTATTCAACACAGCAACTTTTTACTATGGAGGTTGACTTCTACCGCCAACAATATCTCCAAGTGCAAGAGTCAAAGGTGCAGGAGAGCAATGTTACTGCAAGACAGCAATGAACAGCAACATCATCCTTGAGACACATTGTGATTATCATCATCACCATTCTCAGCCCATCAAAAAAGACGTCAAACATAACTTCATTTTTTAGTCATGTCTTCTTTCCCAGTGGCTTTTCAACAACCCCCATCTTTGTTGCCCATCCATGAACCCCCGGTGCTCTGGTTGCGCCGCACCTCCAAAGTTGCGCGGGTCGCGCCCTCCACGCTCACTGCGTCTAGGAGCTCCATGAAGTCATCGAAGAAGTCTTCGATGGCCATCTGGGCGACGTGGCAACCGGAGATTCCCAGCAGTTGATCCAGAAAAAACATGCGGGGTTGGTATCCATCATAAGAAAAGGATGTGAAAATGTATGGGGAACTAGAACATCACCTACAAAAATTGATATTGTTTGTCTATAAATGGATGCAAATGGGAGTCTCTTGAACAGGAACATCAGCTACAAATTTGTAAAGGCTGAGCTGTTGAGATGGTTTGATTCGTCCGATGGTCCCATGTGAACATCACCCAGGCCCAGAATGGTGGCAAACCCACTAGATCCGGGTATCCAAGCATGTTGGCGATACACCGATAGGATGAGAATGCACATTTCCCAGTGCCATGGGTACCACCGTGCCCCAGAAATCAGCAAAGGGATCGCTGGGCTCCAGGACGCGTTCATAGCCCACGGAGAGGCAAAACTCCAAGGCATCTTTCTGTCGTTCCCGGAAGGCGAGCGCTCGCTCCTGGAACAACCCCATTTTTTGGCTGGTAATGTTTAGTGTTTTGTTTGCACCTCAAAAATTGTGCGGCCCATTTTGGTCAAGGAACTGTTACCTTCCAAATTGGCCCTGAATTTTCAGCTATGGTGTTTTTTTTTGGTGGGCGGCGCAAATCAATGAGATCTAGACTCCATGGAGGCAGTGGAACACCTTCAGCTGGAGCATCCCAGCCATCTTTCTTCTAGCAAGGTTTTCCCTTAGAAAAAGGATAGCAAAACATGGCAAAACAATCCTTCTAGCATTGGATTCAACCCAAAAAAAGCTATGACCTGCCGGTGGATCCAGCAACAAACCGACCCGCTAAGGGCTGTCCTTGTCTCCAACCATCTGCTCAAAAATGGCAAAGAGATACGACCGATAAAAGCCTCGGGTGCTGAAATTCACCCCAAGTCGTCCCACATCAAATTGGGCAAGGTCTGCAACCCTCCAGCAGAATACTTCACCAGACTCACATAGACTCACCAGATTTGCTTCCACAATCAAGCCTTTAAATCCCTCATTCAATCACTACCATACTGAGGTTGCAGTCAGTATATATTATGTTATGGCTATGTGTCAAAATTTAAGGCCCATGGGACGGATTTGGGCCATTATCACCCCATCTTTAGGGTACCAAACTTTGCTTCATACCCATATAACTTCCATCAACTTCCGATCGTAAGCACATATGGGTATTTCTGAAATAGGGTGCAACCTACACAGAGCCACTTAGCCCGCCATGGCCAGAATCCTTTGGTGCCCAGTAACCCATTTCTCCCATATTGCTAATTCTAACCCAAAGAAAGCCCCAATGATATTGTTATGGTTGGTTTGATCCCCATTTGTGGCATTAATCATCAAAATGGTTGATCCTCTAATATTATCCTATCAAAATTAATGGCATGATCCACTAATATTCTCCCATTTATGGCATTAATCAAGTTCTGGTTGTATATCCTATCAAAAATCCCCATGTCGCCAAGTTTCAGCTTCCATCCGGTCGAGCTCGACGCATGTGTTGGAAGCGATCTACCAAGAACTCCACCTGGCATGTCCAGAAGTCCAGGGCTAAGGGTCTGAACATCAAATCCACTGGGGGTATAGCTCATTTTCTCCATCAAATGACAAGTTTCATGGTGTTTGTATCTGTGAAATGTGGGATGATTTTTGTTGGAATCCCTCGTTTCTGGACAAACCCGTTCCAGACACTAACTTGACGTCCTATCCGGACCAAGGGCAACTAATCCCATCCCTAGTACTAAACACCCCCCAGAAACCACGGTTTATTTGATGATGTTCAATGTTAGGGAGGTGGGATTAATAAATTTACTCAGAATGGTTTCGAAAATGATGACAGTGGGAAAAGGTCATCTAGATGTCCAACACCTCGGCGAATGGTAATCAAGAGACAGCTACTCCCAACCAAGCACAGCCATGTTGTTCTGACCTAAGGCAACTGACATTGGAGGATTTCGCGACACCTGACCGGGAGCCTGCAAAACATGATCGTACTCATATTCATATTATATATAATGTCATATGTTATTATAATATATGATACACACTCATATCCATCATCATCATCATCATGCTGCCTCAAGTAGATGGGCTTCATAACCGCTTCATCTCGGAGCTCAAGGGCCTTCTGTTTGAAGTCGGGGTTCTCTGCGTATTGAACCTGGCGGTTTTGGAGCTTTTTGGACACAGCCATTCGTCACAGCCAGCTCTGAGTTGGGTGGGTTGCGTTTGGGCATTGGTTCTAGTAGATTGTTCCTCTACAAAAGGTGGAACCTTGGAAGCTCTCAAGACCTACGGAGACAGCAAGCCACCTTTGACCCTGAGGAGATAGGATACGGGCAAATCGAAATGAAAAGAACAAAGCCAGCTGAAATGGATCCGTTTTTTCACCGGGCTTTTCTGGCATTGAGATGTAAAGCAACGGTTTCCACATCACATCGCCACATCGCCTTTAAATCTGCTACTGGCACCGGAGGCCCCACGGCTTCCTGGTCTTCCATGGCCCATGGCGACAGGCTGTTGGTTTCCAGGTTTTACTCAGTCGACTCCCGGGATGGCTTTCTACTCTCAAACTACCAATGTCAAACACAAAATCAAGCCCAGATTTTGAGATTGAGAAGATATGAAAAAGTAAATGTTAGAATTTCGTGTGGTTCATTGATTCTTGGCTTTACCACACACTGCGGACAATGAGGCTGCGAACGACTAGAAATTGGGATGTGGCCGTGTGCAAGAAGTGTTTCAAGCAACCATGTGTGCATATGTTTGCATATTTGTAAAGCACATGTAGCCCGGTTGGCTGTGCTCGAGCCAGGATTCGGCATCCAAATCATCAGGAAGTGTCCAGGCAAAGTCACTCCAATATCATTGAAGCATTGGTGAAAACAAAACGTCACTGTACATCAAGGGTGCAGCCGAAGTGTCCAGTCTTTGCGCCTTGTAGGGGAAGACCATGACTAAGTCTGAGGGTGGAAGCTTGGTCTGTGTCTGAGGCATTGGTTGCCTCAGGATTGGATGACCGCAGACTGCAGAAGCATCGAACCAAACAGTGATTTCATCCAATCGACAAAGTCACGCCACCTTAGATAGTTTTCATCCATGTTTCGAGCCCAGCTGGTTGGCGGTTTCAACATGTTTCGAGCCCATTGCAAATGATTCCTCATTGGGCATCATCACCACACATAGGTGGCAACTTCAAAAAAGTATCGTACAAACAAAATAACACACCAACCAGCAAGGTTACACTCTTGTGACTCTTGTGGTTTATCTTGTTCATCATTATTTCCAACCCTCAATTTGTGGCCAAGGTCTAAGGCACTGGCCCTGCTACTGGGATGTAACCTGTCTCCCAAGAAACGGCCATGGATCCAATGGGAAGCCGCTACCGCAAATGGTTCATAATTCAGAACGTTTCGCACTAAACTCTGAAATTGGGAGTCGATCATTTTTGGCCTAAGATATGTTGACCGCAAAGCGATTGATATAATGTACTACTATATTACTGATGAATGTCAACCTTTGTCATGCTTGGTCCGGTCATGTACCCAGCTGGCATCAAATACCCGGTCCCCGAGTCATCGTTTTCACATCGCCATATCATCCATCAACCAATGGGATGCCCACCTTGCGGAGCTTCCTCATCACCCTCATCAATACCGCTGCCTCTGGCTCGGTCCTGGAACCAAATCACCATTGAGGCAGGTAGGATATCTAACCTTGGGGGCTGCTATTATTACCCTCTGGTTATGACTAACATAGCCAAAACCATCATTTATATATAATAGGTAAATCCACTATAAATGGGCCATCTATACCATGGCTATGTTAAATAACCATAGGGTAACTCAAAAACCCACCAGAATTGACTCAACACCAAGCAGAAGGTTTTTCCAACCACACGCCGGGAGATCACAGCAGATCACTCAGCTGAGAACCAGGCCGTTCGAGTTTTGTGAACATCCTGCTGAAGCAGTTCGCGAGTCCTAGGGATCCGCACAAGGCTCCCGGCTGTCAGATATTGGATTGGGTGAATTGGGTGAGTGCTAACAGCATTAACAGCAACCCACATATAACCCACATATCCCCACTCGGCTTCTGGCGAATGATCTCGAACAAAGGGCATTTCTGGACTTCACCTCAGTGGATGAATCGACCCACGAATCACCAAGATTCGCTGTGCCGGAAAAGATGCTAGACTTGACTGGGGAGAGAGCTGCTCGTCTTCGCGAGCGCGAGCGCGGAGGTCTGCTACTATGGAAACTCGGAAATCTGGTGCTTTTGATTGGAAACGTGTGCTGCACCTCTGCCGATTTTGATTGTTGAAACTGCTTGAACCTCAAATGTTTGACTCGAGCCAAAAAAAAGGCCGGCCATGAATCAAGAATTCAAAGAGCAAACAAGCAAACAAATAAACAAACGAAAACATGATTGACAAGATTCTTTGAACCTGCCAAAGTTAGTCCTGATTCTTCGATTTGCTTTGTAGTGCCCCCTAAATCTAAAATGTTCAAAAAGATCGCCAGTCGATTCCCTAGGGAATTCACCACTTCACAACTTTTAAGAACAGCCAGGGTGCCATGTCATCAGCCAGGTCAGTTACGCATTCTTTTGCTCCAAGGTGCCCTCGCGATCTCCTTCGATGCTGGAAGCCCTGCGGATCATCTCGGCGCCAGGACCCCAGGACCGCCGTTTGGCAAATCAGTCCGCGTGGAGCCTGGCACCCAATGGCCACGAAAAGTGATGATAAACCATGGCAAAACATGATCGAACTACAGCTAAACCATCTGGGGGTAGCTGTAGTTAACTCAGAAACTCAGCCAGACTGAGTGGTGACAGTGGCTTCCAACTGCTTCGGAACATCATTGCTGGTGCCTTTGTGGCGATGCCGGTCGGCCATAGACTTGAGCAAGGGGGCCTGGCACTGTTCATCAGGGGAAACCGACGGAAACCGACAAAAAACATCAATGGCTTCCTGCTGGTTCGACATCCCGAACATTTCTTTCATAAAATGGTTCATATTGCTTTCATTGATGTTTCATTGATGTTTCACTGTAACGACTGTAGGATTTTTGGGGCTTCACCATTTGGTTGAAAGACCATGCCATGCAGGCCTTGTCGATCTTCTGGCCTGAGACTTTAATGCAAAAATGTCTGACACTAGTTCGACGAACGGACCGGAAATCCAACTGAAGAAACGCAGAAGCAGATACCCTCCAGTAAATTAACATAGACCCTGCCAGATAGGGGTTGAAAGACTAGTTTCCACTATAAGTTGGTCAGTTTCAGGGTCTATGTTAATTTACCAGAGAGTAGTCTATACTTGTACCATGTAGATAAACTGGTTCAGCTAAAGTAGCACTGCATGATTGCTTGTGAGCATTTCTGATGTGTTTATTCAACAGTGTAATCCCAAGCCATCCAGCCAGTGGTTTATCATCATCCCCAATAAAGTGGATCCACAACAACAAGCACTCCAAAACTGTCACCATTTATATAATTACATATATATATACATATATATATAGGGAGTGTATGGGAGTATGATACATTATATAAATCATCCCAGTCGCAGAGTATCCGCAATATCAAGCAACAAACTAAATTGGGGATGCTTTATGATTGCGGACCCCGACATGAAATCTGACAATTGGGTTCATCTGCAATTTTATCATGCTCTCCCCATTCAAATTGCCACATGTTAGTGGTACATCGCCCTTTTTTGGGACAAACCCACATAATATATGATCGTTGTATGTCCCCAACAAATATTCCATGGTTGGTTCAACCCTTTAATCGTCCAATTCATATGTGGGTAGTGATTGTGGTCAAACCATCTATTTGGGCCAAATGGGGATCATTTTCGATCAGCAAATAAGTGTTTGATTTCAGGAGTGGCATGAAAGGCACATCACCGATGAACAAGGCTATGTCTAACTATTATGATCCATGATTGCTGGGAAAATCTCATTAAAACCTCGTCATGTCTTGGTCTCCGGCTGAGTTCTCTCCAGGTTGTTTCGGCCCGTCAGATTGGGGCGGCTCCTATCTGTGGCCTCGGCCAAAACCAGCACAGAATGCCTTGAAAGACAATGGAAAGACAGTGGAAAGGATGCAATAAACAGCTATACAAAGTCAGAAAATAGAGATTTTCAATTATATTGACATTCATTAATGATTATAATAAAGAAAACAATAATGCATCATCCGACTAGCATCTCCAAGGCTCGCACCCACGGTGCGATATCATCGAAGGGAGCTCCTCGATAGGCGATTTACCCTCAAACAATGCGGATGTTTTTTTTTTTGAAAAATTGTGATATACAGAGAAATTTCGGGGCACACCAAAAATTTGGATATATATAATTAGAATTTACTATTATACTAAATATGGGATAATATGGGATAATTATCCCAAAAAAAATACTTTTTGGGACTATTGACTACATTTTGTGAACTGATGTGATACTGGTTGGGTACGTTCGATGGGAGAATTGGCCCTACAGAATTCATGGGGATAGAGCGCAATTCATCATGAAACAATGGGGAAAATGATGGTACATGGGATGAAAGGGGATGGGTACCCCAACACCCACTGGTGAAAAAAAAAAACGTAATATGAGGCTGTCATCAGCCGGATATGTCAAATATCCTGGGAAAACAAATAAGCGACCCAGTCGTGTAGGGGCCAGTCACCCAGAATCTGCACCTTCCGTGTCCAAGGCCACAAAGAAGCGAGCCGATTGTTCGTGAATGAGCCTCAGCTGCCAAGGCTAATGTTTGGCCAACAGAATACCATGTGTATATGTGTATATATATATGTGTGTGTGTGTATATGTGTATATGTATATGTATATATATAATATGCTGTGAGTGAGTGAGTCAAGACTTCATCCAGACCCAAAGCGGGAATTCAGCCCAAAGTCCGAAGGGTTTCGGCATTCAGACCAACAATCCGCAATCCAACAAAAACTGGAGGTGATGGCTTGATGCTCCAAAAGTCAACATCTGACAGAAATTTTGATGAATTACATCAACCATTGGATCATGATTACAAAAGTCAACAGAATTTTGAATCTTCAACTGGCTCAACCCCCTCCGATTTCAGCCCTCCGAAAGCCTCAGGGCGCCCCTGCTTCCGCAAGGCCCTCACGCCCAGCAGCAGCTCACCCAACGACAGAGCCAGCCGGATGATCCAACATGCCTGGCTCATCGAAACCATGGGGATGGGGTCAAAATTGGGACCAACAATGGAAGATGGTGATACTAAAGCTAACAGTTATACTGTATAATTGTATAATACTACGTATGATACTATCATCTGATATATCACTGGATGATGGTATCATGCAACTTTTTGTCATCATTTGGGCTATGATACTGTCATCCAATTCTTGGTGGGTCTTAAGGTCTACAACTTGGGGTCAAAATGGATCCAAAGGCCACAGGCATTGAAACCTCCAATCCACAAAAAAGTTGAAGTTTCCAGCTTCTGAGGTGACCACGTGGCTGCTGCTGAAAGTGAATGATGGAGTCTCCAGGATTCCCTACCCTCCACTTGCCCCGGATTTCATGATAGTTAAAACATGTTAAAACCACCAGTTTCTGGTCATCCAGAATGCCCAGGGTTGACCCTCAGCAGATTTCAAAGGATCTTCGCCTGCTCAATGGTGAAGATGCATGGGAGTTCAGGAGCCTGGGAAGCAACATGGGGTGCACCCTGGAAACTCTGGGAATTCAACAGATCCCTGTGCGTTCAAGAGAAAACCTCGCCGAATATTTTTTGGCAAGCTAACTTAGTTCAATGTCGGCGAAAGAATTCTGCCACATCTTGACCGGAGGAACAACTCGAGCAATTGTAGCTTGCAAAAACAGACACGAATACATGAGACAAGCAACATGTCGCGCATTTGCAGCGTTTTGGACACATCCAAAACTGAGCAAACTCCGCCAGTCACTCACATCCCCCCAAAAAATGGACAACCTATTGGGTGGCCAAACAATTTTCAAAATACAGAGTCCTCAACAAACAGTTGATCTTTAGGGTTTACAGTGTGATATCATCCATGGTTTCAGGATATTTCAATGTGATAGTCGGTGGTAAAGTCACTAAATGTCAGGTTTCCTCAAGTAAAGATATATATATATATTAATATTATATCATAATTATATCTGTGAATCAAGACCCTGGTACCCTTCACATCAATAGTTAGTGGATGTTCATCCCCTTCAATATCAGATTCTTGTTGTACATCCCATAGAAGATCGCAATATTCCTGTTTTTCCTGCTGGATTCCTCAGTCCCAATCTCTATTGCTTTTATCCCCATTCCAAGGCCCAGGGGTCCAGGCCAAACTGCAGATTCCAGGTTGCAGGTCCTCTAGGAAGCTGCCTGGAGATCGTGAGGGTAAATATTTCTCTGGCCTTTGGTAAGCCCTAAGTTGAGAATTTGGTAAACACCATGGCAAAAATGATGATGGAATACTGTCCTATTTTTTGGTGGGTTACTCTACAGCTATGTAGAATGGGGTAAAATTCAACAATTTCTGACCAAGGCATCATCTTGAAACATGTGCTTTTTTCGAGATCTGCGAAATTGCGGCAAGCAGCTTGATTGTTACCCCATCAAGCCATCGGCTTGCATGATACCATGATACCAGTGAAAGATCATAAAAGTTGGCTCATAGGAAGGACTTGTGCCACTTCCAGCGGAAGAGCTGAGGATCAACGCTTCGGTTTAGAAAAGTCCCTCTAGCAGCCCCGCAATGAAGGCGGTGCGTTTGAAGCCAAGTGAAGAGTTGACTTCTTTTGGACGTTATAGTCCTGAAGGGTATGATCATCTTCCAACTGCTGCCCGGCAAAGATCAATCTCTGCAACCGCATCGGCATGCCAATCCTCTCCTCAATGAGTTTTTTGAGGGTTGGCCCAGCTTTACAAAGCTCTTGGTCTGTTTGCCATCCTGCTGGGAGCGGCCAAAGCTTGGATGGTGGCCCTTTTCCAAACAACCTCGTGTATTTCTTGAATGTCAGCAAATACCTTTGTGCTTGATTTTCATCACTGGATCGTGGATCATGGCATATGATCTCATTGGTAAGACGCATACAAAACTTGTAGTAAATCTGTGGAAAGAGCAACAAAGCATGCCACACTTGATCTACGTCCCAGCTGGGCGACAATTGAGCTCCTTGACAGCCACCGGCACTGCCATTGGTCGCAGTGCTTGCAGTGCGTGCAGTGCTTGCAGTGCTTGCAGTGTCGCACGCTCGTTCCGGGTCAGTTGCAAGCTTTGGCTCTGCAGTGTCACTGTTCACGGCCTTCAGGATGAAGAATCGACTGACCTCAATCAGCAGTTCATCCAATGAGCTCTCGGAGTCAAGTTGCACTCGGGGAGCACCCACTTCCGAGCAGGGCCGTAGCAGCCACTCAGCATAAGCATCTTCGTCCTCCTCCTCTGGCTCAATTGTGACGACCTTCTGCTCCAAGTATTGCCTTACAGCCAAACCATCTGGGCTCTTCCAAAAGCGACACATTTCCTCAGCCGCAGCCCTCACAACCACTGAACGTGATTCACCCTGGATCTTGGCCACCGTGATCCCAGTGTCTCCACAAGTGCTAAAGCGTTGGATGGCAAGGGATGGGCCTATCCTGGTCCTTGGCTCAACATTCAGTGCATAGCTGAAGTTTTCATCCGACACTTTCGTCACATAGATCCGCATTGCTACTGGCCAAACACCTCAACGGAGCTTATGATCAGAGCCAAACAGCTCACCGGAACTTATGATCAGGCAACATGTTGAAACATGCACAAATGCATGTATGTGTGGGTATGACCGGATATTGTTATATACATCTTAAATGTGTATATATATTTATATATATATACATATTGTATATACCTTGTATATCTATAGCAAATCGGCGACCCAGAAGTACCAAAAATCACAAGACGCCACTCTGAGAATCCAGGCCCATCGCCAACTGTGCCACCAGGATCGCAATGCATCTGCCCAGCTGCGCTAAGGGTCAAACAGTGTATCAATAAACAATACCCACATGTTTGGTGCTTATACATCTGTGTGTTGTTCAAATATGTTTTTGAATGTATGTATACATACATATACATACATACCATACCATACCACACCATACCACACCACACCATACCACACCACACCATACCACACCATCCCATACCAATACCATACCAGTACCATACCATTACCATTACATTACCATACCATTACCATACCATACCATACCATACCATACCATACCATACCATACCATACCATTACCATACCATTACCATACCATTACCATATTATTACCATACCATACCGTACCATACCACACCACACCATACCATACCATACCATAACATTACATTACATTACATGACATGACATGACATGACATGACATGACATTACATACATACATACATACATAGATACGCTCCGGCAATCTCACATGGAACTCAAAAATCTTGGTTAATGTTAGCTTTCCATTGCTGCCATGTTGGAACTCCTGACCCAACCGGGTCTACGCAAAAATATCTCTGTCCAACACGCCCTGGCCCGAGGCAAAGGAAGACGAAGAGGAAGAGCTCGGGGACCTCATTTTTGGGGGGCAAAATAGGGGGAGACCAGGATACACCAATTTATGGCCATCAAAATACTGGAAAAAAGGAGCTGTCAACTCATTTTTGGATGAAAAAACGAAAATGGGGAGTCCTAATTTTCAGACACAACCCCAAATTCGGTTCAGTTTCTACTGAAGCAACTCAAGCCGAAGGTCTGCTGCAACTGATGTCACCATGGCTTGGGGGCCTGGGGCCGCTGGGGCCCCAACCTTTTCTCCAAGGTTTCCAGCGTAGCCCAAATAGAGGCGACAGGGCTCCAGCAAGAAGCACAGAACGTAGTTTGCACTGCACGCGGTGCACGCGAGGCGAAGCAACCATTGAGAAATGCAGGTGAATGCTGGTGAATCCACCATTGGTTAATCAATGGTTAAACATGGTTAAACACTGCCTTCATCCACGTGACTCGTGTAGTTCCTGAGTGGCAGACCATAGAAGTGCCGTCATCACTGTGCCTTGAATCCTGCCATCCGAAACACGTCTGTAGTGGCTCCATATGGAAAAGTTTGCCCAAACGCGCAGGAGTCACCAGCGCAGTTTTGCCCATCCTGCGAAAACCTGCAGTAGAATCAAAAGTATCTCAAGCATGCAAAGTCTTTTGTCAGGATCAGGCATTGAGCAGACTGGTCAACAAATGGCCTGATAGCCTCTGCTTTCTGCAGTAAAACATCTTGCAAGCAAACCCCCCATAGCTACGAAAGCAGAAAGACTGGGCCTCCACAAGAGCGAAGAAAAGATCAAACCAGACTCCACAGTACAAGAAGATCTGTCAGGGGCTGGTCGTTATTGCTGTCGCGTTTTGTTTCAGGTGTCTGATTCAATACTTGAATGACAAGCTGGCCAATCAACACACAAAAACAAACAACGAAGGAAAACCTGAAGGGAGACACTTGATGCCACAGCTCTATCCAAGACCTCAGGATACTGTAGGCTTTGGATCACGAATGATCACGAAACAGTTCTGGATTGTGGTCGCTTGCCATGCCAAACCAAGGTTGGGACCAGCGGAGGATGTTCTCGCTGTCTCCCTACAAACTTCATCAAAGCATGACTCGCATGAGGTGTCTGATGTGTCTGTGGTTTTGCGCTGGTTCTATGTGAGTCAGTAACATAACTATTGAAAATCACCATTTTCACTGGGAAAATCCACTATTTCTATGGCCATTTTCAATAGTTATGTTAGTCATTACCAGAGGGTAGTGGATGTCGTGGTTTACGGCTTGGAACCGTAGAGGCTTGGTCGATTTTAATCATCCGATCCTTGGGGATTCTTGATAAATATGCACCATTTGGGGCTGAAACAGTTTAACAATGTTCTGTTGGATTCTAAAAAGCGCTGCTTTTTATCCCCATGCAAATGGCTCAAAACCTGGTACCCCCAGCATTTGGCTGATTACAAAACCGCCTTTTCTTGATGTCCAAGATCACCATTTCAAGGTGCCATGGGTTCGCGCCATTTTTCCACCTCATGTTGACCCCCACCTGGTCCCTCTGGACGTCGCATTCCGGACAGTCATGGGCTGCCAGGTGCCATGGGGCCATCAGCTCGCTGCCAGGTTGGTTCCCAACAAGAACTGGGAGTTTTTATTGCGATTAATGATCAAAAATTGGGATAATAAATGATCAAAAATGGCGGATAATAAATGATAAATTGATATTAAATGATAGAAGTCAACTTGCGATAAAACCACTTGGGACTTCATGATCAAAGACATCGGGATGAAACGACGCCGAATTGTTGCATGTTTGCCAACAAAAATCTGGGAATTCTCCGACCAGTGAAACATGGGAAAGGCAGGTAAGGGATTCAAGATGATTCAAGTAACAAAATCCAACATATCTGGCGATGTGACTTTAATCTTAGGGGATAGTGATGGGAAAAGAGTGTGTGTGAACAAGTTCAAAACAATGTGGTATCTGACTGGCGCAAGTATGGGTATAGGATCACCTAGAATATCCCCCGTGGTACCGCTCAAAAGGGTCTAGTCCTGGAAAAAAATGCCTTAAATCGTTTGGTCCACAACCTTTTGGAATTGATTTCCAAAGGGTACAACCCAACAGATTTAAGCCAACAACCAAGTTGCAATTTCCCGGGCAAACAAATTAAAATCCTGTTCCACAACCTTTATGTGGACTAACATGTCTCCTGGCCCACCATTGCACTGACACAACTCTTTTCCTGGGTCATAACCTTTATGATGATACATGTGTACCTACCCCATTCAGATCGTCAAGTCGATTGAATTGGAAGATCACGACCTTTCAAAAACTGCTGAGGGTTTGGCATAAACACTTTTCTTGTCATATAATTCAAATCCTGGGTCACAGGGTTTCCACCGGCTCCATCATTTTTTTGCTCGCATGCTGTCAAGATCTTTCAAGACGGGGAGATGGATGACACTAGGCTTTGGAGGTCCAGAACTGTTTCTCTCTCTCTCTCTCTGTTGGAAATGACCAGAAATGATGTGTCCTCTCTACATGATTGTTGATCCCTGTCGGTACAAAAACGTGGGGTACAGTCCTAGAAAAAAAATCGGTCTAAAATGATGACCCCTAACCTTTGAGAGAGGTTTTAGAGCTTTAAATTCCTGGCTCCTAACCTCTGAAGCCGAAATCTCACTTCCAACCACCTTTTTGAATTTTCTTTGCTAATTTCGTGGTGCCCAACGTCCAACATCCAATAAATTTACCCCTCTCATATCCAAGTAAAAAAAATATTTCCTGGATGCTTGCGTTGGTAACATGCCATATCTTCCCCCCCTCAATCTGATACGGAAAAAAATGAATTCCTGGCACCTGACTTCCCGGCTGACAGCTCGCAGTTTTTCAGAGTCCACGGCTTCACGAGTGCGGTCCGGCAGATGCCCACGGCAATGCACAACCCTTTTGCATGGACAAATGTATCTTCAGGAAAAAACGCCTGTTTTGCAATTTGGCCACACGTTGGAACAAAATTCTTCAATTCGTCCCATCATTTCCTATCTATGGATGGTTGACCTGGTGATGCGATTTTTTTCCTGTGGGGTCAGCCTTTGAAGATCATCCACAAGAATTCGGCCAAAAAAAGGTCCAGCCCCTTGGACTTTATTTTTGACACCTGCGCCTCGGCCTCTTCAAGTCACCTTTTTTTGGTTGGTGAAGCTGAAGATATGTGGTTGTACCCTTTTGCAAGGACAAATGCATTTTCAGCAAAAAACATATGTGTTGTAATTTGCGCGCGCGTTGACACAAAATTCTTGAATTCGTCCCATCATGTCCTATCTGTGGATGATTGGCCTGGTGATGCGACTTTTTTCCTGTGGGGCCAACCTTTGAAGATCATCCGCAAGTATTCAGTCAAAAAAGGTCCAGCCCCTTGAATTTTATTTTTGACACGTGCGCCTCGGCCTCTTGAAGTCACCTTTTTTGGTTGGTGAAGCTGAACATATGTGGTTGTACCCCTTTTGCAAGGACAAATGTCTTTTCAGAAAAAAAACGCCTGTTTTGCAATTTGGGCGCGTTGACACAAAATTCTTGAATTCGTCCCATCATGTCCTATCTGTGGATGATTGGCCTGGAGATGGGATTTTTTCCTGTGGGGTCAGCCTTTGAAGATTATCCCGCAAGTATTCAGTCAAAAAAAGGTCCAGCCCCTTGGACTTTATTTTTGACACCTGCGCCGCGGCCTCTTCAAGTCACTTTTTTGGTTGGTGAAGCTGAACATGTGTGTCTGTACCCTTTTGCAAGGACAACTGTATTTTCAGCAAAAAAAACATGTCTTTTGCAAATTGGGCGCGCGTTGACACAAAATTCTTGAATTCGTCCCATCATGTCCTATCTGTGGATGATTGGCCTGGTGATGCGACTTTTTTCCTGTGGGGCCAACCTTTGAAGATCATCCGCAAGTATTCACTCAAAAAAGGTCCAGCCCCTTGGATTTTATTTTTGACCCCTGCGCCTTGGCCTCTTGAAGTCACTTTTTTTGGTTGGTGAAGGTGAACATATGTGTTTGTACCCTTTTGCAAAGTCATGTAAAGAATCATGCCCCCTCAAGTAATCATGGTACATTTTTTCCTGGGGTTTGACATTTAGATATGTTCTAGTAAACTCCCATTTGATCCATCCACCTTCAAATTCCTGGCTACTAACCTTGGGAATTCTACAAACTTGCCCATTATCAGAGTCATTCATGATTGATTTCCTGATGCCTTACATACACAGACTGATAGATCAACCCCCTCAATCACAACAGACAGAAATTGATTTCCTGCCACTGTACGTCAGGAAGCTTTCAGGAAAAAAAACTGGGCCTTTTTTGGTATGATATTTGATTCCTGGCCCCGTATCATGCCCCTGGACCCTCACCCACTGTCTGCTAGATTTTTGGAAAATAGTGTTTTTTTTTAAAGCGTACTGAACCCCCAGGAAAAAAAAACTGGTAGTACAGAGGAGGATATTGTTGAAGAAAACCATACGGAGTTCATAACTGTTCAAAATTAAAATCCAGTGAAGCTATCGGATTCAACCTTTTTACAAACCACTGAAATGCATTAAAAAAGTATGATCACAACCTTTATGTAGATCCTACCCTCTCCTGTTCGACAGATTGGCCCAGAGATTTTTTTCCTGTACCCCAACCTTGTTTGGAAAACCATGCAATCCTGGCAAGCAAATCTTCGAAACATATAAAATCCTGTGGTACAACCTTATGTTACTAATCCTGCTTTCCTGGCTCCAACATTTGTTTTCCTGAACCCCAACCTTGCGACATCCATTTTTTGATGATTTTTACCTGACTTGGCATTTTTATTCGCCGAAGTGGAGTCACAGGAAAAAAATTTACCGGTACAACGGGGGATCCTAGAATGGGGTTGTTGATTGGAGGTGCTGATCAATGTCCCATTCAACAATCACCTGACGCAGTAGGGTCGGGTGGATTAGCTCCAATAAGCATCCATTCCAGTCATCAAAATCCAATTTTTGTGAGGCTGCAAATGCCCGCTGATTGTCTCTCTGGGATCTCAAGCCACGTCACCATCGGGAGCTCTGACTTTTTTAGGCACAAGAATGGTATGCAGATAGACTGTCAGACTACACTATATCCCTTCCTGAGTGAGGACAGGTCAAAGTCCCTCGGAACCATGTCAGGTCTTTCCACGATCACTTTTCGAGCTTCTTTTGCTAAGCGATCTGTAGTTGACACAGGTCTTTAGAAAATTGGAGACACATCAGTGCTTAGACTTTGCTCAGCGATCTCCACCATAATTGTACGTTGGGTCATTAGGCTTGAAAAATCAAAAATTCCGGCGTCTCTCAGAGCTTAGGCGTCCCCTGCTCGCTGAAGACATAGCAATTTCTATTGTACATCCTGACTTGGCGATCCAGCGCTACCTTACCTCTCTTTTTTTTTGCATTGACGACGGAACCATGGAACGGAAGCAAGAACTATTCTGGGAGATGCAACTAATGCTTTCCCTAATATTAAAACATCCCCAACGTGGAACCTCAAAGTGAACAGATCGAGTACTGAACCAAGGTTCCTAGGGAGGGGTATTGGGGGCAGGCATACACCCAACAAGAATGGCACTACTCGGCACGGTGATTGACAAAAGTCTCCTACAACTTCCACACATCATGTCCAACAGGTGGGCATTCAACTCTATTTGAACCATTTAACCTATAATTTTCTCATCTCCTGTGGATGAACATCCATTTGTATAGCTCAATATCATATGTTTTGATGCTTAAATTCTGTGCTTTTCCCAGCTCCCATCAGCTCCAAGGCACACTGAGTTGTTGTTCCAGTTGCGCCTGCAGGCCTTGGAGGCGTTTCAGGTGGCTCTGCAAATTCATGAGCTCATCTTGCTGGTGGCGCATCGTCCTCGGAAGATGATCCAGTGGTCGGAGAGACTTTTTTCCCATTTTTTCGCTACAAAAGCCACCATGGTGACATGGTGACATGGCTCGAAAAATGACAAAAAAAACAACCAAATGGATCCAAATGGATGGTTTTCATGTGGCAAAACAAGACCAAGTAGGTCCGTAGGTCCAATGAATGTCCAATGATACCTCTCTTGAACCATAGCGAATATAGCCAGATGGGCCTCGAAGGGCACACATTTGGCTCCAGCTTCCACTGAACGTAACCAATTGAAAACCCTGATATCCATTGATATCCCCTGTTCTGTCGTTGACTTCCAATCATCTGTGTTGTTTCAGAAGGATTGTGAAGTCATCCAACTGAGCATGGTCTGAAGAAGTGTTCCAGATATGCATCTGTCATTCAACGAAGTCTCCCAGTTTCTCAAAATTAAAAACCAGAAAATACCAGAAGGATGACCTTTATCCCTGCCTTATTCCAGCTTGAATTGCTACTACAACTAGCGGTCATGCAAGACGTCGTTCACAAATTTGGTAGATTTGACTAAACCCATGAAGCCATTCGTCCCCTTGAATGCTGGGCTATATCAAGTTTAAAAAAATTAAAAAAAAACAAATAAGACATCAAACAACATCCAACCACCAAAAGTCTTGGTATACTCTTTTTGATCTCCAACCAAACGGTAGTTAGTGTTTCAGTGTATCTCCAATATCTCCCACATCAACTACCACTTGAGTCCTTAGCTCCCCTTGTAGGGATGCTAATATCATCCCTGGCATCCAAGCCACTTCGGCCGAGTGCTCGCCGGCGCTATGCCCGCAGCGATGCCGGCGGCCTTCTGTGGCTGCGCAGGCAGCGCGGGCGCTGGCGGCGCAGGCGCTGGCGGCGCGGGCACTGGTGCAGGCTGTGGGGCTACCTTGGGAAAGGCCGGAAGTTGGTGGAAGGGGTGTGTTACCACAAGGGTCATGCTAAGTCCACAGCTGGGCCAGCTGGGTTTCTTTCATATGATCTTCAGAAATCTTTTGCGAAAGACACCGTGTATGTTCTGGCTGTGAAGCTGATGGCTCACTTCCATTGCTGATCTCCAGGCGCTAATCACCATTGATACAATGAGCTAAGCCATGGGCATAGTACAGCGGCTGTACAGATCCCTCCTTCCTTGGCGTCCGCGACCTCACATTCAAATGAGCAGTGCTGCACGGCCTGGCTTTTTCTTAAAACCTTGTGAAACAATGTGAAACATCTGGTCTTCTGCCAAGGCTTCCGCGATATCTGAGCGCGGACGGAAGGTTCATTAGCATCGCTTCCGTGCAGCTTCCGCACCACGATGTTGGCATCCGTTTCCGTGCAGCTTCCGGGTGGTATGTTCCATATTGCCCTTCCGCGAGCCCTTCCGCGAGCCCTTCCGCGAGCCCTTCCGCGAGCCCTTCCGCGAGCCCTTCCGCGAGCCCTTCCGCGAGCCCTTCCGCAGTCTTCCGCGCACATTGGTTTGCTCCAATGGTGATTCAGCAAGCGGAAAATGCCCAATGCAAACTTCGGGGTCCCAAAGAAACCAGATTGGCATGACTCAACCACGGCTCCCAAACTGTTGGTCATGCTTAGTCTTCAACAGTTTGGGTGGTCAATACATAACCAAGTTTTCCACCCGAGAAAACGCAGAAAAATTGACTGGGACTCAAACGGCAAAAACTGCGCAGGCTGTACAGGTTGAAAGCGACCTGCTTAGGCAATGGCACCAGCTAGGTTTGGCTCAATCATTGCAGTATCTATGGGACCACAAAGCTTGTCGTTTTTCGCACAAAACCTTTGTAGCTTGGGGAGCCATAGCCAATTACCCCAGCTCCTCGCGAAAAAAAGAACACAGAGCAGCTGCAAACTCTTGCTGCACTGGCGCGCCTGCGAACTGCGTCTGTACATGTCCTGAATGTCCATGTAAATCTGACAAGGAGTTCGCCTGCAAAGTCCAGCAAATTCTGCTGCAACTTTCTGGAACAAAGGAGCCAAATGGTGATCTCCATCGGGGGATACCCAGACCATGGGTCTCCCAAAACATGTGACCATCCGCAACGCAGCCTGAACAAGTCTGTGTGTACTTTGTACCGAAGAGAGAGACCCGGTGCTGAACCTCTGGCACATCAAGAATCACCAAAACTGCATCATCCAAACCCTGGATTAATACTTCCCTGGTTGATCAATCTATGGCCATTAGAGGGGCCTTCCCCAAATCAGTCAACCACATGTTTATTCATCGGTGAAACTGCGGCCCATTGAGGTGCACATAGCGCTCCGGTCTAGGTCACGCGCTGGTGTCGCAGAGTAGCTGGGGGAAAATGCCCTGAACTGGCCTGTCGAAGGTGTGCGACTTTGAACCTATTCATGGCACCTTGATATACAAGTCCATCTACTACTCCATATATTTCTATATATAATATATATTATATCCATTTCGCACCCAACATTCAATTGTTTGGGTCCCCCTGATTTTGACCTATGCCCATACTTCTCTGGTTCTTCTTGAAGCAATTGACTGTGAGAAACCTGGAAACACAAATCTCCAGCCTGTCTGGGTAGTCCATGCACACCCATGACCATAGGCCTGCTGGATTGCAAGATAAGTTGTAGCCATCCCTATGAAGCAGGATTGAGGAAGCCAGGATGAACCATGACCATGAACACGGGTCGGGTATATAGACGTTGCTGACTTGAGGTCACCCAAGGAATCGAAAGACACATGGCTTGGAAGACGCGTTGCCAGAAAGGCAAAGCCACTGCAAGCTGCTGCCCAGGTAGTAGAACCCCATGTCGGAGATATAGCTACATGGGTCAGAAGTACTGGCGAAAAAGGGTCCATGGCACCCCCCCAAAAGTTTGACCAGGAATAGTCATAGGAGTCATAGTCTCTCCCAGGTGGAACAGCGACACCTCTGGTGCTGAGGTGGCAGGGTCCTTCTCGCACTCATCGGCATGACCTTGTGGGCTCCAAGAAAATGGCACGCAAATGGCGAAAAAATGGGTCTGAAAATGGAGAATTTCACCCCAATTTAGGATTTTATTTGGGAAAATGATGATAGCCATCAAATTTGGGGGTGTTTTCGGACAATCTGACTTCAGTGTGGAGTACAACCTTCACCTTGACATTCACTGACACCGGTCCACACAACCAACAAGAAAGGACTGCCTGGTCCGATCATTTTAACGCATCATCTGTACGCCCCAGTCTGACTCATACCCAAATCTTGAGGTAATCTGGGTACACAAAACTGATATCATGCTGAGAATGGCCAGCCTGGAACTCAACTGAGATACCCGGCCGGCTGGACGTAGATCGGGGCCCGCCCACCAGTGCCTCCATCTTAACCCATGCCAACACAACACCCGCTTGAAGGGACGCTGTTGTGATGCTCCAAATTTGTCCATTGCTGGCAACCCAAATATATAATATATATATATGCCTGACTACTAAAGGACCCCAAGTCATGAATAGATCCAATACTCTTCTGTTCTGTCAAACTCCAAACTCCTGCTTCCAGGATTAAGAAGGGGGCGGAGGAGCTGGAAAAAGAAACTGGATACAGTAGTGGGGAGGGTCACAAAAGCATCTACACATATCCACCCCGACAAAAAGGCAGGATGGCACGACTAAACCAGGGTCTCTACATATTTGATATTAGGGAGAAGGGATTAAACAGCTGATTCCTCTCAATGACTCAATAACTGGGTTTTACAGCCCCACTTTCTGAATCAAAGATACAATGGCTTGAGCTTATAAACCCCACTGAAATGTGCCAGTAACTAGTTGATCACGGGTCAAAAAGTGATGTACCAAGGGACCCACAAATGGTGATAATTGTTGGGTTAAATAGTTTTGACCCAATCTCAGTTCTGTCCAATCCATATTGGAATGTATACTTAATCAAACATATTAGAACCACCATTTTGGATGATTTGGATGTTTAAACTCGCATTTTCATGGTTCAATATTTCTGACCCATTTCCATTTCTTCCAGGTTGTGTCGAAAAGCGTTCCCCACCTGCTGCAAAGTAGGCCGTGCAAGGTCGGTGTGGATCCAGACTAGCCGGACGCATTGGACGCGGCCTGGTGGCCCAATGATGTAAGCCATGGCCCATTTTCCCATTTTCTGCGACGATTTCACATTGAGAATGGTGGTGTTCAGTATCTTCAATTCCCAGAGGGTTGACCTTTCTTAGAAAATAGGGCATCCACCAAAAATTGCCATTGAATGAGAATATGATGATTAAACAGTATACCCCATGTTTGGACAAAGCTTGGATGCTAGGCCGTTCAAACATTCACTCTTGTCAAGGTCTGAGACAGGGACAAGTGGTCCTCCGGCGTGCCAGGCCTGCGCCAAAGCTACTATGCACTGCACAAGCTTTGCATCGTGTTGCTGTAGCTATTTTGCAATGTCTTGCAGCTGTGCGCTTTATGGCCGCTTCAGCTTCAGTCTGCCAGTGTCTCAGTATCCAAGGCGGCTGCAGAAATTTCTCGTGCCCACTCCTTAGAACTCGCACGTGTGGAGGGTTTGGGAAGTAAATATAATGCTGTGCAAAGAATCCCTAGTGTCCAGAGGAGGAAGAGTCGAACCACGACGCTTTCAAGATGGTTTGAACCCCCAAGATCCACCCATCTGTGGTCTATTTCCGCATAAATCACCATCCTTTTTTGGAGTCTCCCCAGTGCGAGATACACCTATTTACACACAGTATTGTTCCCATGGTTGATGATATCACTGTACTTCACACATGGTCCGACAGGGATGACATTAAAACACATCACCTGCTTGGACAAGTCGCAATCTCCTGCTTGGCTCTGCATCCGGTCGAGCCTGGTGGCTAGAATTTACCCTGCAGTACACCTACCTGGCAATGGGAAAATCACCCAAGTTTCACCATGAGTTAAAGAATTGTGATAACTGACCTACACATGGGTGGATTTTCCCTGATTTCCCACTACCAAGTTTGATTACTTCCACTGTCCCAAGAAATGTTGTACCCTACGTTCAAAGGTATGAAAAGGAGCTCCGATCCGGCCGGGCCGGCCCCCAACCTCGGAAGCAGAGAGCCTGCGCCAACACGAAACTCTTGAAGGGTTGGAGTGTGCATGGTGTTGGGTGTGCTTGTATGTGTGTGTGTGTGTGTGTTCAGTATCTTTGTAGATAGATAGATAGATAGGATAGGATAGGATAAGATAAGATAAGATAGGATAAGATTAGATTAGATAGATAGATAGATAGGATAAGATAAGATAATATAAGATAAGATAAGGTAAGATAAGGTAAGATAAGATAGATAGGATAAGATAGGATAAGATAGGATAAGATAGGATAAGATAGGATAAGATAGGATAAGATAGGATAAGATAGGATAAGATAGGATAAGATAGGATAAGATAGGGTAAGATAGGGTAAGATAGGACAAGATAGGATAAGATAGGATAAGATAGGACAAGATAGGATAAGATAGGATAAGATAAGATAGGATAAGATAAGATAGAGAGATAGAGAGATAGAGAGATAGAGAGATAGAGAGATAGAGAGATAGAGAGATAGAGAGATAGAGGGATAGAGAGAGAGAGATAGAGAGATAGATAGATAGATAGATAGATAGATAGGTAACGGTAGGTAGGTAGATAGATAGATAGAGAGAGAGAGATAGAGAGAGATAGAGAGAGAGAGAGATAGAGAGATAGATAGAGAGATAGATAGAGAGATAGATAGAGAGATAGATAGAGAGATAGATAGAGAGATAGATGGAGAGATAGATAGAGAGATAGAGAGAGAGAGAGAGATAGAGAGATAGATACTGTAGATACTGTAGATAGATAGATAGATAGATAGAAAGATAGATGGATGGATGGATGGATAGATGGATGGATGGATAGATAGATGGATAGATAGATAGATAGGTAGGTAGATAGATAGGTAGGTAGATAGACAGATGGATGGATGGATGGATAGATAGGTAGGTAGATAGATAGATGGATAGGTAGGTAGGTAGATAGATAGATGGATAGATAGATGGATGGATAGATAGATTGATAGATAGGTAGGTAGATAGATAGATAGATTGCATATGCCCGTTTGAACGCTCATGGTCGCTTCCAATCCCAAGATGACCAGGTCAGCGTGTGCAGGAGACGCAGCCCTCTTTTTCACTCCACGTGCCCTTTCGGACGAAGGAGATCGGAGTTGCGCCAAGTTCTTCGCTCAGGGAAAGTCGAAATCGGATTGATCCGATGCCTCTCCGGAGCAAATGGTCTTGACAAGATATTCAATCAAGGCCGCACTCACAAGGCTGCCAGGAAAGCCTTGAGTGCAGAATGCATTTTTCATGCAGTTCAAAATCACAAGGGAAACTGCAGGAGCTTTGGAAGGCTGCCCGAAGTCGGTAGTTTCTCAATTTCATGGTGGTTGGTCTCAAGCAATCTTGGCCATCTTGAAGAAATCCTCCTTAGAGTTGATTCCAACAGCTTGAGGGGCTCGGGTTTCTCCCAGGTTTGGGCCGGCCATTTTGCCATCCACCAAGAAGCTCTTGCCCAAGGACTCTTGTGCGAAAGTGATCACCTCCAACGGGATCCAACTGATAAAATGTGTGCGAACCAAAGAAACTGAGACTGACACAATCGTATCTTTCCAGGTCTACCCAGGTACACCCCACAAAAAACAGGACCTGACACAAAAGCACTACATTCACTACATGAACTCCAAGAGTCTCTCCTCCTTCTCCTTCTCCTTCTCCTTCTCCTTCTCCTTCTCCTTCTCCTTCTCCTTCTCCTTCTTCTTCTTCTTCTTCTTCTACTATATAGAAAGGTCCTTAAATCATCATACTGATTGTGTGTTCTTCTTCATTTTCCAGGAAATGCCTTGAAAATCCACCAGTTCCTGGGCCTTGTCGATGGTCGGCGTGGGAACCTCCAACAACTCCGCCAGTCCGCGTGTGAAGCACAAACCGGTGGGCACGTCCTCAGCCAGGTAGCGATACTTCAGGTCGGGCATGAAGCCTCCAGCGCTGGTGGGGAAAGCTTGGGGAAAGGGAGAAGGGATGGGATGGATGGGATGGATGGGATGAGCACCAAGTTATCCAAGTTATCCAAGTTGTCATGTTTTCTTGGTCTGAACTTACGTCGATGTGCTGTCATCTTTCATCAGATTTGATCCACAAAATTGGATGCCAAAATTGGTGTCACCAGAAATCACCAGAAGATGTCGCATCAACTCATCAGCTGTTCTTGTTACCAAGAGGATCCCCCACCTCCATCCACCGGGTTCATGGGATGAGTAAGGCCAATGTAGGCGCTGTTGGTGTTCATGGACAGCTTCAGGGTGGAATCATCAGCCATCTGCCCCTTGTAGCTGTCCAGGTACCACCGGTGCAAGGTGCAAGCATCCTTCAGGTTGAAGCCGGGGATCAGCGCCTCCACCTGTGGCCACACTGTGCCATTTATGATGTGTACACACTGTGCCGGGGTACACATTGTATATTCATATGTTTTTACAATTTTTACATATGTATACATGATATGTCCCATCTGTTTGATCGGAAACTCACCTAACTCCCAAAACTGCGTCCCTCGTCTCCCCAAATCTGCTTCCAATCTCCTATTTTACATCATGTTTCCTGTTCCGTGACTATATTGCCCTTTCGCCCACATACCCGTAGCCAAATAGTGGGGTTCCCACCTTCCTGCACACGTCCTGGACTTCATCAGAGATGCCCAGCAACACCTTCTCGGTAAAGTCATCCACGCCCTGGTAGAACAAGGGTTTCTCGGCCAGCGGCTTGCCATCCCATTTCTCCGCGCACCAGCGGCCATACATCACCCCAGGGTGGATCACCTGTCCAGGATTCCTCAAGCTAATGCCCAAATTGTTGGGGCTCTTCTCAATGGCCGGATAGACTCCCAACAGGCCCTGCAGGGTAGCAATGGCCCGAGTACTCTCCGACTCCGGGGTCACGGCAGCCAGGATCTGACCCTTGGTGCCCAGGATGGTGGCCCGCTTACCCCACTCAGTGAACCTGCAAGCCCAGGGCAACGTCTCGAAACCCACGAAGGCCATGCTGTCGGCTTTCTCCTTCATCTTGGAAGCAAAGAGGATGTCACCACCAGACCTGGCCGGCATGCAGGCCACAATGGTGCCAGGCTTGATGTAGGGGTAGAAGGCTTCAAAGTACTGGCCATGGGCGAAAGATGGAACCGCCAAGATGATCACATCGGCTTTGCCTGAAAGGCTGGGATCGTTGGAAATGTCGGTGGGTGTGGAGATCAGCTTCTTCCCAGTATCCAATGTCAGTTTCATTCCCTCGACCTTGTCATGCCAGCGGCCCCCCATCATGTGCTTCTTCCACTTGGCAGCCTCGTCCGCATACAGGGAGATGGCGTAGGTCTCATATCGTGAAGCAAACATGGAAGTTGCAACTTGGGCTGCATTGCCTCCACCACACACCAAGACGGTCAGGCCCTTCTTTGTCTCGTCACCCATGGCAAGGTTGGTTAGTCAAAGGCTAGCTGGTGGCAAGAGTCGTTCTGGGCTTGAAAGAAATAATGCTGAAGGCCCACTCATTCCAATGATTTCCTAGTTGCCCTTTGCGTTTAATATGATCTAGCAGCAATCACACCGCATCAATCCCAAAATCCAAATTGCTTTGGTTTTGGACGCCCAAGCCTTGAGACAAACCCATCAGCCAGCGGAAAGCTTTCTCGCGCCTTGCAGATTTCTCTGACGAATGTCTTGCCTGAGCAGAGCAAATCATCAACTGGATCGATGTACAGGGTCCTCAGGCTTCGAATACCGTTACTACGAGCGTGGTTTTAAAAAAACTTAGAAGGTGATCCAAGAATTGCAGAGCCAAACGGCAAAACTGACCAATTTTCAGGGTTCATTCGCATGTTTGGCCGCATTTTCCTGAGGCTCCAGCAGGCAACCGAATGAGCTGTTCCGGATCCTCATAGCTGACCCAGTAGACCTGGTTTTTGCATCATCCAGTTACCCGAAAAAATGGTGGAATCCTGACCAGGGTGCCTGGTGCCCAAGGTGGCCAACCCGAGTCCCCGGCCTTTCCTTCCGCCTTCACGTACGATCCCTTTGCAGCAGTGTCTGCGCTCCTCAGTGCGCCAAAAGTAGCGACTCCACGTGGAAAAAAGTGGCTGAAGTCAATGTGTGCATGTCCTTTCACAGTCACTAGAAACCTTGTGACAGCCACACGATCACATGACGGTTTTTGAGGCAGTCAGCCAAGTTTGTGACATAGCCACATGAAATCAACATCTGTGGGGCCCTGCTCTGCTTCAAGCGATCCGCTTTGAGTCAAGCGATCTGCCTTCTCGCTTTCCGCCCACGAATTTGCTCTCACCTGGCCATTTGAAGGACCCGCTTAAGATAGTTGTGTTGTCTTAATTGTGTAACCCCATTCTATGGTTTAGAAAAGCATCCTCCTCTTTGTTCGATACGAATTTAAATTGGAGGTAAATCTCCTGAGACAAATCCCAAAACCATGTTTCTACCCCAGGGCTTACCCCAACCGGTAAGCTAACCATGTCCCACCAGTCTAGAAACCACGGAGGACATCATCACCATCGGCTTTACCCATTCGCTTCGCCATCATGGAGTCATGTAGCCATCTTTTTGTGGCTATATGTCGAGCTATATGATGGCTATATGATGGCTATAATATGATGGCTATATGATGGCTATATGATGGTTATATGATGGCTATATGATGGTTATTATACCAAATTATACACCTTTTCGTTCTTCGTTTATTACCCTCTGCCAATGACAGAACTTCAGCGCCTCGGACAGCTGTGTTGCACCGTGCGGGGATTCTGCAGCGGACCTTGGGATGAACTACCCATGTCATATGGGTACGATTGGTGTATATATAGCCTGCTATGTATGTATGTACGATATGAATGATATGATGTGGATATGTGACATGTATGTACATATGAATATATATATTTATTTATTTATTTATTATTTTTTAATAGGACATATATATATATATACACATACATGTATGTATGTATGTATGTATGTATGTATATATATGTATATATATATATATACATATATATATGTATATATATATATACATATATATATACATATAGATATATATATATATACATATATAGATATATATATATATACATATAGATATATATATACATATATATAATTATACATATATACTTATATATAAATACCACTAGCAATTTTGACCACTCTGAGGCTAATACCCTGACAGCGGCTGGTACAAGCGTAGGGTTTCCTCGTTTTGCAGGCAGGCAAGATTTGTGAATTGCGTCAGATACCCGTTTTGTTTGTGGGACTTGCGATGCCCCTGTGGTGCTCGCAACTTCATGCAAGTTCTTTTTCAAAAGGTATGTAAAGTAATTGTGCTTTAAAATATCATGTAGCCTGAGGAGAAAAAATGACAATGATGTTAAAGGTTGTTGTCGATGGGTTCTACTGGTTGCTACGAAATTCCAATTCATGAGTTCATCCACAATGTCACAATCCCCTTTGAACAAATGGGATTGCCTAAAAATTAGGTACAGCCCGACCGCCATATGTCAGTAGAAACGATGATGTTCTACTTATTCTAAACAATAACCATTAACTTTGGTCATCCATTTTGGGCCAAAGACCCAAAAGACCCAAACAATATCAATATCAAGTTATCAACCAACATGGATGTCTCCCCTAAAAATTGATGGCTTATCCTGTTCTCAGGTTTATTGCGCAGGGTTCAATCCCTCATTTGTTCAGCATCCCCACATCGCGCTGAGATTTGAGTTTGAGACCCTCAAAGTGTGGATCTCCTCTTTGGCTTTCTGCAGTTCAGCCCTGGCGCCGCAGAAACGCATGGCTTGGTAACTTGGTATCAAGATTATCAAGTAAGATCAACTTGTGGTTTGGGAATTGTCAAAAAAAAACTCAAAAAAACATCAAACGACTCATTGAAGCTCCAGCCTTAACTCTGCGGAAACTCGACATTCAGCCTCCAAAGCCTCAGGAGGTGAGAAAAGCGTCAAGTCTGATGGAACATCATCAACCCATGAGCAAAGTCATGACGTTTTTGCACCAACTTACCCTGATAGCGATCCGAATCTGCGAGATTCTAAACCATCAACAACCATCAACCAATCAGAAAATCATCCAAAAAACATGATTTCCAAACACCACAATCTGATTCATTTTTGCCTTGACCTATTGAAACCTGCTAAATCTCCCTTGCCTGTTGCAGCTCCTGCAGCGACAAGCCGGGCGTCATTTTTCGCCTTGGAAGTGACCAACCAACGAACCGTAACGGACCGTAACCGTAACCAATTCTTCGTGGTTCACCCATGGATATATAGTATGATGGGGCTATGATGTTGATGTTGAGTAGTGGTATGAAATATGAAGTTAAGCAACCAATGAGTCAGATTATGGGATGTGTCATGAATGGTAACAATAGATCAATAGATTAATATGTCGGGGAGGCGAACCATCTAGTTGTGCAAAAAAGCTCAGGTATTATCCCTGGAAGTCACGCTTCGGTAAAAAAAAAATGTTGAGATCCTTCATACCGTTGGAGCAAAAAAGCATTGAACACTCCCAAACAAATACGGGATTTGTTTGCAGGCACACTGCAAACATGATCAAATTGACTACCAAGATTATCCACTTCTTTATTTGTCCCTGCCTAGCCTTTTTGTCTTTTCAGGCGATATCGTTTCCTGCATAACTTTTCTGCCCATGTTGGCAATTCCATGCTTCTTGAATTCAAGACCTGCATCTGAAGTGACCCTCGGCAGTGGGGTTGAGCCATACCGTGGAAAAGAGCATGGCATCGCTAGCCACAGCAACTTGAGAATGATTCTTGATAGTCTGAAATGTCTGAAGCTGGTTTCAATCATTTCTTTCCTGATGTCATGGCATTCCTCTGATTCATGCTGAGTAGACTGAGGGCCAAGCTGGGGTCTGAATCTTGGCTACTTCCCACCTGCCAAAGTAGCCGCTTCGGCCCTCCGGTGTCATCAAACATGGCTGGGAAATCCCCAACCTAAATGGAGGTTTTAATGGTAAAATGATCGAACTAAATGGGGGTAGATTCGCGAAATCAGCAACACTTGCAAACGTAAGCACCTCAAAGTACGTCTGCGGCATGTGCGCACTTGGCCATACCACACTTGCATCAGTTCAATGAGAAATCCAAACTGAGTGTTTCTATGAGATCACTTCATTTCATGCCCATAAAATATATGCTTACAGCCAGGACCGGTATTTATTCCACATGCTGTACAAATCTCTCTCATTTTGTCAACAGTTGTTCAGCAAACAATCAAGTCCGATTGAAAGTGCCAGAAACTGGTCATGAAGTTCAACGCAATCACGTGAGGTCTAGCAGATTCATGTTTTCAGACATGAAAAATGATGTGAAATCTTTGGAGAAAAAAAACAGTTTCAAGTCTGATCATCTCGCAGGACTCTCTAACAGCTAAAGCCGAGATCAAGCCGGTTCCGGTTCACCACGGATTCAGGCTGTGGGTCAAAATAGGGCCCCAAAACCTTGGATCATTCATGCCCCGCAATGGCACCTAACGATACCTAAGTTCGTGGAGTTTATGTGACTTGTGCGTTTCTAATTTGACCCATATCCAGATCATGCCCAAATGAAGAACCATCAGGGCAAAACCTTCCGCTGCAAGGCACGTTTTGGCAATTTTCATCTTCGCTTTCATGGTACCGAGCAGGTCTCCACAACTGCGTCCGTGTCCAAATTTCAACACGAGCCACAATAATTGAAGGGAGATTGCCACTGATTCAAAGACCCTAACTTGGCGTCATTTTCGTGCCCATCAAACGGCCTCGGAATGTGCATAACATGAGAAACACATCAAGATTGCCTCTGCGTTGCGAAGAAAAGCAGAGAAACACACAAAAGTAATGGAAAAAATACTTGAGGCCCAAGGGGGGTGACCGAAAGCTCAAGGTCACATGAATGTGGAAATAGGTGAGCTAAACTTGGAAACATGCAGGGAAGTAGAAAGCATGCATATGTTTCCGGAGCCTTTTTTGCGGCAGTGAAGTGAAACTGCGGCAGTGTGAAGTGAAACTGGAACAGCGGTGAAAAGAATTGGGGCGGAGCACGTGCGCTAGAAACGTGCCAGAAAGATAGAGAAAATAATTTACAGATATAGGCATATATAAAATACATATGTATAGGGATATATAGATATAAATAAATACAGATGTATATATATATATATGAAGAATGAAAACACAGAAAGAAAATCAGAACACGATATCGACACAAAGAAATAGACATGCATATACAGGCACAGGAGCTGCACAGTAGAGGTTCATATGTAGAAGGCAGTTGCATGCCGTGTTTGGTGACATCCGATGGAAGTTTGTAGAGCTGCAAACATACACGACATAAATGCAAGTAATCTAGGACTTTGCAGCCGGCACCGCCATTGAACAAGAGGGAGGATTGTGTCCGGAGCTGCTTTTGAGCTCGCTGCCAAAGTGTCAGAAGATACTCATCCACAGGGAAGGAGCCAAGACGGTTGCAAAGAAGAGGTGTAATGTTCAGCTTTCATTCGTAGAACATGTGAACCAAAGAACATGGTTACTGTAAAAAGTTGGGGCCCTATCCAGAAGTGTAATTTTTTGATGGGGCTCAAATCTTCAACTGTTGATCCGAGTCACAAAGAATTGTATCGGGCCCACTGCCAAATTGTTAGAAGCTCTGGCGAGCTTGGAATGTCTGAACCAAAGAAGATGGGTACCCGATAAAGTTTGGGCCCCATCCAAAATTATAAGTTCTGATGGGGCTCAAATCTACACAGTGTTGACCTGAGTCAAAAAGAATTCTATCGAGCCTCATGCTCTTGCGAGCGATATTGCACAAGAGTTCCGTCCGAGCAACACGTAATCTGCCGCTTTGAGGTGTAAGGCACTTGAACCAAAGAAGATGGTCACTGTAAAAAGTATGGGCCCCATCCAAGATTGTAATTTTTGATGGGGTTTAAAGTCTCAACTGTGGATCTGAGTCGCAAAGAATTCTATCGGGTCCACGGCCAAATTGATCGAAGCTCTGGCGAGCTTGTAATGTCATGCTCTGATGAAGCATGGGGCGCAAGAGTTGTATCCGAACAACATGTAATCTTCGGCTTTGAGTCGTAAAACATCTGAACCAAAGAAGACTAGAGAGTTACAGAGGGACGGCCCTGGCAGGATTTGAGCCCATGACCACCTGCTTCCGAGACTGCTTCAAAATGCCCCGCGAGCTTGGGGGGGAGGTTCGAGTAAAAAATCACTGTGTTGGACTCAGACCTGCCCCTCCCCTTGCTGAAGCAAGCGTAACTCCAGCTAGCTACCGCTAGCTTTCGTGATAAAAAAACAACAAAAACGATAATGCCAGCAATAATTAAATGCTAATAATGCCAAAAAGGAAATGTTGGTGCAGAACAAACGAAGAAATTTCACAGGATCTCAGGTGTGAACTCATGGCGTGCTGAATCTTGACATTGACTTGGGCAAACGTCTGGTCAGTGGCCAGATTCCTGAAAGCTGACGACTACGTGACTACTGAGTAGCGGGGCAACAGAAAATGGGGAAACAAAATCCATTTATGGCGATTGAATGGTGAATACGTGGTGAATATCATCATTAACCACTGGATTTGCCGTGTACCACATACCATTTTTTTGGACAAGCCTTGCGGTGCTGCAGCAACTCGCAACTGTTACTCAGAAACAGACGCATGGTACATCAGAACCGCACTTTCCACATCCTGCAGTTCCACAGACCACCGAACCAACATCCACTCATCCACGCAAAAAAAGAACGGTAATTGCTTGTGAGGCCGTTGCAATCCAAAATTAAGTTCATTTCACAACAGTCTTCCTTCTCTCAGCAGCATCTCATAGGTAAGCAGAACTCTCCAGATCAAAATGATCAAAATTGGTTGGCCCACCTCTGAACTCACCTGGAACTCTGATTCAAATCGAGCTCCAACAATCACCTGCAAGGCGAGCTGCAATACTGCGCCATGGATACTTTGGCATGAGATGTTGCAAAGATGGACCCCTCCTCCTGAGTGGAACTCCATTTCATCCCAATGAACTCCGATTGAACCAAGCCACACAAACATGTGTAGTTTGTAACCCCATCTTGAGTGGTTCAAAACCCGGAATTCTGTCAGTGATAATCCGCTTTTTGTAGTCAACATCCCCATTTTCTGGTTGAAATCCGAATCTTTACTGCTGAAATCTCAATTTGAATCACGTTAAATCCACATATGTTGCTGCTTCTATCATCCGAATGTCTGCATTACATTACATTACATTACATTACACTACATTACATTACCCTACATTACATTCATTTACATTACATTATATTGCATTACATTACATTACATTACATTACATTACATTACATTGCATTACATTACATTACATTAAATTACATTACATACCATACATACCATACCATACAATACAAGACAAGACAAGACAATACAAGACAAGACAAGACGAGACAATACAAGACAATACAATACAATACAAGACAAGACAATACAAGACAGGACAAGACAATACAATACAATACAAGACAAGACAATACAAGACAAGACAAGACAATACAAGACAAGACAATACAAGACAAGACAAGACAATACAAGACAAGACAATACAAGACAAGACAATACAATACAAGACGAGACAAGACAATACAAGACAAGACAATACAATACAATACATACAAGACAAGACAAGACAAAACAATACAATACATACAAGACAAGACAAATACAATACATACAAGACAAGACAAGACAAGACAAGACAATACAAGACAAGACAATACAATACAAGACAAGACAAGACAATACAAGACAAGACAATACAAGACAAGACAATACAATACAAGACAAGACAAGACAATACAAGACAAGACAATACAATACAATACAAGACAAGACAATACAATACATACAAGACAAGACAAGACAAGACAACAAGACAATACAAGACAAGACAAGACAAGACAAGACAATACAAGACAAGACAATACAATACAAGACAAGACAAGACAATACAAGACAAGACAATACAAGACAAGACAATACAATACAAGACAAGACAATACAAGACAATACATACAAGACAAGACAATACAAGACAATACAATACAAGACAAGACAATACAAGACAAGACAATACAAGACAAGACAACAATACAATACAAGACAAGACAAGACAATACAAGACAAGACAATACAGGACAAGACAAGACAATACAATACAAGACAAGACAATACAAGACAAGACAATACAAGACAAGACAATACAATACAAGACAAGACAAGACAATACAAGACAAGACAATACAATACAAGACAAGACAATACAAGACAAGACAATACAAGACAAGACAATACAAGACAAGACAATACAATACAAGACAAGACAATACAAGACAAGACAATACAAGACAAGACAATACAAGACAAGACAATACAATACAAGACAAGACAATACAAGACAAGACAATACAAGACAAGACAATACAAGACAAGACAATACAATACAAGACAAGACAATACAAGACAAGACAATACAAGACAAGACAATACAAGACAAGACAATACAATACAAGACAAGACAATACAAGACAAGACAATACAAGACAAGACAATACAAGACAAGACAATACAATACAAGACAAGACAATACAAGACAAGACAATACAAGACAAGACAATACAAGACAAGACAATACAATACAAGACAAGACAATACAAGACAAGACAATACAAGACAAGACAATACAAGACAAGACAATACAAGACAAGACAATACAATTTAAGACAAGACAAGACAATACAAGACAAGACAAGACAATACAAGACAATACAAGACAAGACAAGACAATACAGCACAATCATGATTTTGCTGGCGAAATCACAGGGCAGGCCTGCGCTGCAATGGTCACCGTCTTGGGGTCCAAGCCCTGACACTGGGGGAAAGTCATGGGGATATTCATATATGGATGTCCCCATCTTAATACATTGGGGATAGTCATACCATAAAAAACTAGATATTATATATATATCATATATATATATGATATGATATGAATATTCCCATTTAAAAGGCTACTATCATGACATATTGGTAAAATGACGCGCTGCAATGACTAACCAATATGATGGGTGTGTCAGAAAATTGGATATACCGACCAAAATGGCAAGTTTAATAGCCACAATCGGACAATATAGTAAAATAATGGAAAATGATGATAAACCGTGGAATGGAATGGGGTACCCTTCTATACAGACAACCCCAGATTGTATACCATGTAATTTACCTTCATATAATTTCAAAATGTATTCTATGTATATAATATGTAGTAGATACATATTGGCTATCTTTATACAATTCATATGATACATTAAGGTATACGGCACACACCCATAGGAGTTTCAAGTGAAGTTGACGATACAGGTCCAGCCTCCCGGCCAGCAGGTAGATTCTCGTATTCGTCAATCAAATGCTCAAGCTCCTGCCGTGCAGGTCGAATCCAAAAGTTAAATTGTGATGTGATAGTCAATCCGCAAATAACAAACAATGATTAATAGTAATAATACTAGATATATAAATAATGATTAATACTGATCATGATGATGATGGTGATGATGGTGATGATGATGGTGATGATGATGATGATGATCTGCAAGTTAAGTACTGTATATAGGATATAATCTGCAAATCTGGCAACATGATAATCAGCTGGTGCGCCTGCAGCATGAACTTGTGATAGTCAATGACCTCTTTCACGCTGATAGCCTGTCCCCACTTGGAGCCCTGTGATTTCCCTCTTAGTAGACGATAGAGTTTTTGCTGCTTTGGGGACACGAAAGACACTTGGGCATGTCATGCTGACGGCTCAAAATCAAATCAAGACTTCAATACAAAAAAGGCCGTAGTCCGAGCCTGAATCTTTTCTGAAGCAACATTTTGTGGATTTGGCCTGAGGGCCACATCGAGCAGCATCAGTTTGTTACACATTCTGGGTTCGCCTCCACAGACAAAACTTCTGAGTCGACAGCGCACCCATGATCTTCGCAATGGCATTGCCTTCATACAGAAAGTTTAGCAGCAGATCCACAAAATGATTCACCAAAACAGTAAGGTCCAGACGGATTTCACTATCTTGCTGATGTTTCTCCAACAGCTTGTCAAAATCCATCATTTGCCTGAGAATCGTTGCTGCATTTTTTTTTCTGACAGGGATGAAACCAGTTGCACATCCAACTGAGATCCAGTCAAACCATGTTTCGCGATGGGATCTTCTGGCCTCACTTTTTTTGGAAACTAAACTATGAAGATATCAGTTTTGCATTCACAGAAACAGTGTTTCCAAGGAAATCAGGGTCAAATGACCCTCCGGATGTTCCACTTTTCGTGGTAGTTTTGGTTCGATGCAAGTTCCGAGATATGGACGCAATTTTCTCGATTTTCTGACATATGTCCAGCAGACTCACCGACTTCTCCCGAAGTTCCTCCGCGTCACAAACAAAGTAGCAAATAGTGGGTGGAAGATTCAAATTCGTTCCACTTGCTGAAAGTGGAAAATATCCCGTTTCCAATAAGAAGAACAAAAGCAAGGGGTCCGGTCATGTTCAATTTTCTCACTTCCATGTTTTCTTTGAATCACACCAGACCAGATTCTGACTAGAGCCCAGAGCAGGAGTTTTTCGTCGCCACATACACGGTATACCCCGAATCCACCGGTTTATCATCATTTAGCGAAAACGAGTCCTTCGTCAAATCTTTGATGACGGCCTTCATCTGCTCCTCGGGTAAAAAATTGATTTCGGTTGGTTTTAAAAGTGCTATGGTTTCCAATTTTTTCCAGCCTGAGACTTGATCATCTCTCTCAAAATTTTTTTCAATCTTTCTTTAGCGGCCTCCTGCCATGCAATTCGCGTCAGCAAAACTAAAACTGAATTTCGCGAAACAAATGATTCTACATAGTTTCTGCTGGTTTGTCCTCGCTCTGCACAGGTTTCTTGGAAGCTGTTTTGTCATCCTGCCGAATTTTGACTGACTTGACGATCAGGTCCGGCAATCCGACCATACAGATACGCGACAAACACATTGCGCACGCCTTGGATTGACTATCATCCTCGGCCAGGCTAGGACTCTTTGCCTGTCCCAATACCAGGTCCAAAACCAACACTTTGACGAAATCTAATGGTCAAACCGCACACGTCTGATTCACACACACCAACCACCTTGCGCAAATACCACAGAACGGCCAGCGCTGCAGCTGCTGTTCCTCCAACGAGCAGCACCTTCTTGCTCCACTCCATGGGCAACGCGTTTTGGCAAGTGTTCCCGTCTATCGATTGGTGAACAAAACCAATATTTCATTGAAATCAAATCCCCAATTTGGAATCTAATCGCATGCTGAATTTGAATCCAAACAATTCAATGTCATCGGGCGGGTTAATGGTGGCAGTGTCAAAACTGTTGAAATTAAAACTATGAAAAGAGGTAATGGCCGCGCACACTCATGGGTTTGTACTACCATGCAAACATCAAACCTGAACCAAATTCAACCTCAACCCAAAACAAACATGTTTTCGTTGTCGTCAAAAATTCCCAACCAACAAACTATGAAATGATATGGTCCAATTCGGGTTCCACAAAATCCATGGACAAGATTCCACCGTCATCCATACAAAACGACCACATTGCATCTACAATAAACAAAATCACATAACCAAAAAATTGTGCACATTTGATATGTTTTGCCGCACTTGTCGTTTTTCTTTACTGAACGTGCAAAAGAATTTCATTGTAAAACGGCAATTTGGTTGCACAAACAAAATGTAAGCAACAAATATTGTTTGTGTGTGTTGCTCCACCTTGTGAAACCAAAATCATAGCTTTCTATTTTGCACAATGTAACGACATGTGGCAACAAAAAATTGCACCTTTAAATTATCTACCTGTTGGGTAGTTCAATTTGTTTATCTTGAACATATTCTAAGAAAAATGTGGGATGTGTTTGTTTCCGTTTTATATTGTTGGTCCATAATTCAAATCCACAAATTCGACAAGGCGATCACAATCTGCAAACAGCAAAGTTACACGGTGGGTGCGTGTTGGGCTCAAAAACATTTGGTGACAACACAGCACAGTTGACTCGGTCACCTCACTTTTCCTCGAATAGCACGGATGTGCCAAAAGGGGTTGCGGTCACGTCAAGTGTTTTACATGACATGCGTTCTCTACTCCTAGCTAGCTACTTAGCCCCTAAACTAGGTGTTTTACCCCTAGAAAGTTGCCACCCTCCTTAGAGTGGACTTGTCTGTGAGACGCTACTGGTGAAACGTCTTTATATCCCCAGGAACCTGTCTTCAGCCCGTCTCCACTGTTCAAGTTCTGCTGGAGACATAAGCCACTGCCAGGGAATTTGGGTATTTCATGTGCATTTGGTGTTTTTCATATCATGTGTAAGCATGGAAACAAGAGACCCAAAGCAAGGATCTTTGCACAAGATCTCTACAATTATGGATGGTAATTTGGTAAGCTCTATGCAAGGACTTTGTAACAGATTTCTACAAGAGAGTTTCTTGCATATCTTTATTTCTTACCTAATAAATGTGTATGGCAACCTACATAATTGTGCTTGGTACAAACAAAAATGTCAAGTCACCTGTCACTTACTGCTTCCCTGTCAGTACACACACATGCATATATTATATATATATGTATATATATATATATATACGTATAGTATGTAGCTTCAATATATATCGTTCTTTCACCTGTCACCTGTCACCTGTCAACTACGGTTCCCTGCCTACTGCTTCCCTGTCACCTGTCACCTGTCAGTTTCCACCTTAGAACAGGTATATAATCACCATCATGGTACAAGCAAGTTTGGATGAAAGCGATAAATTGAGAAGTTGACCGTACGGCCATTGTAGGGAGCAGCTCCAAACCTGCACCAAAAAACTAAACTCTTATCTTCCAAGAAAGTAGGCAACAAACATTGAACATTTCAAACGCTCTGAAGTCATGATTGTTTTTTTCCCAGCCGCTACACTCACGACAAGTTTTGTTCCACTTCAATGCCGTTCTCCCGCATGACAATGCATTCTACATCATCTTCGTCGTCTGCTGCCTGGCAGCCATGAAGCTAGACACATGGTATTAATAGTATTGGGGAGAAACAACGAACATATTATATGAAACTGGACATCATGGTATTACTAGAGTATTGCTGGGGAGAAAACAAAAAACACACAAAATCCATTAACTCAAGCAAGCTGCATCATGATATGAACCATCTGTTTGAATAATCCGGATTGGTCGGGGTGCAGTCTGTTGAAATGGGTTCAGGTTGACAGGTGTTGAAGGGACAGGTGACTGATATGCAGCTTGCTCCAAAAACGAATACCGTGCTGGGTGCGGTTCTCGCCGAAGTGTCCCAGTGATCCATCCAGTCAGGAAGGCATGAGCCTTCGGGCTGATAGCTTGCGTGAATCAGAAATCAGTTACCAGCAAACAGCTGCAATGTAGTGTGCAAAACAACTGTGACAGTATGTGACCGCGACAAAATGCAAAATATGCAAAGTTTACTCTCTAAAAAAACAAGATGCTTTTGAAGTGCCGCATCTGCCTTCACTTTCACTTGATTGCGAATCTTCCAAGCTACATGCCTCCGAGGGTGCTCTCCAGAAGGCTGCCATGTGAGCCTTGAAAGAAGCCCTGGCAAGGACTCTGCTCGGATTGCCACCTCTGCTTGAAAGGGCTTTGGTGAAGACTCATACATATGACACAGCAGCAGAATGTCTTCTGGATGGGTGGCCTGGGGCAAATTCATATTCAAGGCTGTCTAGGTCTTTACTGAACTTAGAGCACTCCATCTAATGGGACCTGGCCACCTGCTACTGTGTTGGATCTCTACTGAAAATTCCAAACTACCACCAGCTGCCCAGGATGACAGCTCATCCAAATAGCCAGCCCATCCCAAGACCTCTTCTTCTCGAGACTTCCAAATACTCACTGGAGTTGGTGCCGGTGTAAGCCATTTTTCACTTTTGGCGAAAACATCCAATTGCTGTTGGTTTCCATGATTGTTTGACTGTTGAACACCAAAAACAGGCAAAACATCAAACGGCTGCGGAGTCACAAACGACGAATCAGCTGCCCTACCAAGACCATCACCAAACACTTCTGGAACCCCTCTTCTTTGTTGCATAGTCACAAAACGATCTTGCATATGCTGTTGCACTGTCTGTAATTGTCCCTCATTCAGATTACCTAACATGGCCATGACCTCTTGGATCTGCGCTGCTTGAGGTGTCAAACCTCCCAAAGTCGCTCCAACTGGGCCACTCGGCATGTTTCCTTGGTAATTCATCGGGTTCACTCCTGAGTTTGGAAAACTACCAGACCTTGGTCCACCAGGCATACTCGCACAACCAAAACTCGGTACACGCGCTTGCGCATTCTGCTGCATAAACGTTTGCTGTTGGGGAATCCATTGTGCACCAAACCATGCTGGTCCCTGTCCTTGCATTACGGGCATGTTTCCTTGTTGACATCCCTGCACCGGATAACCTTGACCACTTGCATCCAGGTTTGTCGTGCTCGCACATCCCTGTACATTCTGTGACACATTTGCTTGCTGTTGCTGTGGCTGTTGCTGCTGGGGCATGGTATTTGCTTCCGGTGTTTGTCCATCCATCCATCCCAGATCCTTGTGATCTACTACTACCCTGCTGACTAGGTGTTCCAGGCACAGGTGGCAATCCATCACTACGGTTACAACTACCATTTCCAGGCCCAGGTGGCAATCCGTCTCCACGGTTACAACCACCACTTCCTTCACCTCTTTCAGCCATACCAGGACTAGGACAACCTTGTACACCTTGGCTCCCTGGATCCATTCCTACTACGCCTCTACGAGCTGCAAGCAAGCAGCTCCGCTACCATGCGGAAGGCTACGCTAACCTTCGAAACCTCTAGACCTACTTGGGTCAGCGTCCAGGACGTCGTCCTTGACAAACCAAAAGACCGTCCACGCAACCAAGTCAATCGACCCCAGAGCTCAGCCACTTTTACCGCAACACACAAGAGAAATGTCTGCTCATGTCGCTATGGTTCTTGTTGGTGTGTCACTCCTTGACACAAAACAGATGCGGAGTCGCCAGTTGACATCTTTCTGTCAACTTCACAAAAGCGATCAAAAACACATGTCGTCACAAAAAGTCTTTACATCAAGACATGGTTTGTTTGTTTAAATAAGTTTGAGTGTTTGAAAAACGTTGAAACATTTCAAGCACCTAAACATGGTTCATGATGTCTCCCTCAGATCTGTTAGCAACTCCAGTTCTGAATGCCTTTCAGAACGTTGCTCTCGCCATCATCATTGAGAGACAAAACAAACTAAACTTCTCCGATCAATGTCAAACAAAGTTCCTTCTTCCGAAGTCACGATCTTCTTCCGATTCCTTCGTGCACTTCGTCGACGAAAACTAAACTGAAAGATATGGAAAATATGTTGATTTTCCCATGTCACTCTACGGATTCAAATCCTCCCTCTGTTCTCCGTGCAATTTATCGTTGTTGGGTTTCGTCATCTTCAATAAAATGTGCAAAATATGAAACATGCAAATACGATGTCAACCATCACGTTGATGGTGATGAAAAACAAATTCGCTTTCCAATTAATGCAGAAAAGATCCAATAGATTCAATTCACATACAAGCCCGAACTCTAGTGGGCCAAGTCTGTTGGCGCGTTCCCCGCACCAGAAACTGCACGACACCGGCCAGGTGAACCAGCACCTCATCAGCATAGGCAGCGGCCAGAGCTTGTTTGAGGTCCCCTCGCAAGCTAGTGGACCCGCTGCGCTGGAGCGGCTCCACAGCCGCTTTGCCAGCAATAGATTCCGATTACTTTCCTGCAGAAGCACCTCGATTGTAGGCTTTGGAAACACGGGACCTCTTTCAGCAACAGAATAGAAAGGGAAAGATTGTTTGACCAAAACAAGCAGGCACAAGGGGCTAGTTTGGGTTCGCTTTTGGTCCTGAAATTGATATGATTTTTGGAGTTCGGGCCTCCCTTCTACTGCGCTTGCCAGCAAAATCGGTACTAAACGCTTCGCACTGTGATAAAACAGCGATTTTTGGATGCGACCGTTTGGACGTGTTGCACACAACCCGACCCGCAAAGTTGCCGCGTTAGGAGTCTAAGGGGGCAAAGGGGGGGAGCCCAAAAACAAACAACTCATCAAGAGACCAAAACAAAACTGCGCAGTGCGACGCCAAAGCATCTCGCCAGCAATGTCGCAGCGGAATCAGCACCTCACCGAC